GTTCGGGGCTGCTCCGCTGCCGATGCTAAGGCGCACAGAGCCTCTGCCTTGGCTTCGCAAGACTGAGCACTGCAGGCCCGCTCCCCTTTGCATCCAAGCCCAGATGCGGGGGCTGGGCGGCTCCTCGAGCGCAGTCGACTGTCGATGGTATGACTGCCTCAGGATGCCCAGACGCAGTGGAAACGATTCTGAGCTCAGCCTTCAAATCGTATCGTGGAGTTCAATGCAGCCTGACTGGGTGTTGCCTACATTGACATGGATGTGGAATTTGCTGTGTAAGCCTTCAGCGAGTGATCTCAACCCAGGTCGACACAAGAAGCTTGCTGCCAGTCCGAACTTTCTGCTGGCTCTTTCGCCAAGACTTGCTCGTAGCTGTAAAGAGATGTTGGCAAACAACAAGCCGACAAGATGCTACATTCCCGGACGAAGGATAGACTTGTCGGCATCGCTGTGTCTTCGAACGGAACCCTGGCTCTTCGTACTATCTGAGCTGGAATGCTGTTGAGACTGCCGGCGACCGTCCACAGATCCTCGACGACTTCCATTCTCTGATCCAGAAGGCGGTCTCGCTTGGGCCTGACATTGCAGTACAAGTGAGAGCATGATTCTGGATTCTCTCTATAGCTTGCTTTTCATTTTCTATCACCAGCTGCAAGCTCCTATCGTGGCGTACAACGTCACGTCGAAAGAGTGGTCAGCTTGACACAACGAGACCCGCTAAACTGCATCAATGACCGCCTCACAAGACTGCGACCAAACAACGTCCATCCCTGCGTCGCCCGACAGGCCCAACAAAAGGACACCCCAACAGCCAGTCACAGAATCCCCTGCACCCTTGCAGAGCCGCATTCCGTTGTTACGCTTATGTTTAAGAGCTTGACCGAATTCTGAGGATGGGGGCCTGACGGATGCAGTGATGGCAAGCACTTATTGGCCAAGTTCGCTACTGATACCGTTGCTCCACCACCAACACACGCACAGTATCCACACTCGCACTCGTGCAGTCAGCACATGATTCGATAACGTGCGCAACGTCAGCTTCCACTGTGTGATCATGTTGTGCCCGTCCTGCTGCAGTGTGTGTCGACCTCGTGTGAGCACAAATGTCAGGGACTCCTGTCCGACGATCTTTACAGCGGAAGCGCGGGCGACTGCGGAGAAGACGATCACAGCATGTCCATGCCGGAACGGGAGGAGCATGACAAACGCTCTCCTTCGCCTTGACCTCGATCTCCAGCATCACTCGGAGAGGGCCAGGGAAGTGAGTAACTCGGAGTCAGAGAGCTAAAGAAGCAGTCGATGTCGCCCCTCCGACTTTAGTCAACTGTGACAGACTCACATAACACCGTCATGAACGAAACTGACACACACCGTTGAAGTCTGGGTTGCACACCGCTCTGTGCAGAGGTGAGGATCTTGTAAACGCGGCATTGCCCAGACTTCCCTGCCAACTGCCGAGTGAACTCAGACGCTGCACCTACAAGCCTTTCGCGACATCTTTCTCGCTGCATGGGTCGGTTCTCATAGCCATAGCTATGCTTGCCAGCATGTGTGAGCCAGCCGTCTTGGAGATATTCCCGTCGCCTGACCGCGCGGCAGCCTGCTCCGCCTGCATCGTACGTGAAAGCCGAAGCCCCATACATCTGGGATACACTGGATTCTGCAGCTACTTGCCTTCAGCATGGTCTGCCCGCGCTTCGTCATTCCCTTCTTCAGGATTTTCGCATCGCCTACAGATCATGATAGGTTCACCACATTGCAACTGACAGGCCAGTCTTGGCCCCTAAGCCCGAAACCCTCTGCCAGCCACCTTCCTCCTCCTCTTTCTCGTCCGAAGCCAGCTGCTTCACCCGCTTGCCCCAGCGAGTTCCCTGGAGAAGCCAGAGCTCCTGGTACTGGGACATCTGGAGCCTATAGATCTGATGTATGATAGATATACATGTAGATATGTGTATCTTTCTATGTATGTATATATATATATATATGCATACATACAGATGTTACATCTTGCCTACTTTATCTCTGACCCGTGGAAATGTCTACACATACTGTTCATGTCATAGCAGCATGTAGCGTATAGAAACCCATTTCAACAGACTTGCCGAACCGCAGCACCATACATCCTACCGACTGTTTCTGAGCCTAGCGGCCAGCGTGCTGTTTGGTTCCAGCAACTTGGCGCGCAGCTCGGCTCCTTCGCACGAAGTGTGGCTGCGAAGACACTGACTTGGTCGGCTGGACGCGTCCATGCAGCCTCTTCTGCGGGCTTCGGTGGCCTTCCCACCGCTTCTAGTGTGCTCCCTTCGCTTCTTTTGGCAGTCCGACATGCCGGAAGGTGCTCTTCATATAGGTTGTTGCAGCTACAACTAAATAATAATCTACTATGATCCGGGCCATGTGTAGTACATGTCTGCATCCCTACGATTAAGCTAGAGCAGGTTTGCCACTGAAAGAAAAAGCAGCATTCAAGAGACCGTTGGTCGGCCATATGGGAAGCTGAGATTCTGAGCAGCGTCACTCGGTCAGTCTCCAGTTGCCTCGGTCCATGTTCGACAGATCATGATCTGAGCCAAAAACAGCCCCGGCAAGCCTTCGGAGATGGAAGGCATTGGAGTGAAACTGGCTCCCTAGCGAATGGAATTCTCGGGAATACGGGCGAAAATCTTGAGCACAGAACCACCGGGACGAACTTCAGAAACTCTTGTACCAAGCTGCACTTGAGGATTCTGTGCCATGCCGGGGCCGCCATCCGGGCTCCACTGCCCTGCACAAAGTGCACTGCAACAGATCCGAGAAGAAAAACTGAGCGCTACCGGTACCTGCTACCTCCATGCGCACAAGAGCTGCCGCCGTCCTCGGACGCAGCATGGACCATCCGCAAAGTCTCCTCAGAGTCTCAGAATAACGGTAGAACGCAGGGCGAAAGCACACGGAAGGCATTTCTGCGGCACTTCTGGCCAGGACACCAGGAAACTCCTCATCACCTCGAATGCTGCGACAAAGGGGGGATCATCATGACAACATCCATCCGTTCAGATGCGATGAGCAGAAGTCAATCACAACAATGCCAGAGGCGCTGTCCGTCGACTTTTCTGGAAAAAGCTCCAATCGAACTTCCTCTACGACTCTTTCGAGTGATGAGTCCTGCGCCGGGCATGTAGTCGAATACTCCGACTTGGCTATTCTCACACTCGTCTGGCCCAAAGGTCGAAACCAATCTGGAAGCCCACTCAAATGTACAGTGGCGGCACATGACCAGTCGCTATTTCGGGATCTCAATCAATTTCCATCGAGGTGCTCAACATGATGTGAAACCATCCGACCAAAGAGAAAGTGCATGCCAAAGAGTTGAAATGCTTGACCGGCCTGTTCCAGTGAATCGAAGGATGCATCATCGTCATCCTGGACAATTTGTTGCCGCGCTGGTGAAGGTGAGCTCACGTTCTAGATGCAGTCTTGCGGCAGACACGCACGAGCCTCGGCCATGAAACTGCATAATTGCAGGTGCATGCTGCACATTACAGCTCATGTCATATTTTTCATTGGTGAAGAGTGTGCACTTCGGCTGCTCAGGGTGCTACCTGAAAGACCTGAGCCTTGCACTGTTTCCATGATCGGGTGCGGGAACTGCGGAGAAAGATGCCTCACCAACCTCCGAGCTTCAGGTGGCACCACGGGCGAGGAGGCGTTCAGGCTAGACTCACCTAGACATGACCAGACAGTCGCAGCCAGAACGCCGGCTCTACCAACCAAAGTGCGAGCTCTCCAACCACAACGCTGCTTTTGTTGGCAATAGGCTGCATCTAAACCCAGTCTGTGTGGGGAATTGTTGCTATCCTGTGCTTCGCTGGTAAACGGCTGAATCTATCTAGTTCAAACTGGGTGGACAAGGGGCTGGCATGCAGTTCGAAATGACATCTCCATTGAGAACCACACTCGCTGTGTGCCAAAGCGGTTCAATCGACACTGCTGGTTCAGCTTGGAGCGGGATAACGGGACGGTATTGGACTCGCAGGCTGATGGCTCCTACATGGCACTTCTCGCTCGACTCGGCAAAACTGCTAAAGACAGGATACTGCACTTCTGGCCCACATTCAAAGATAACCATCATACTTCATACAAGTAGGTGAAACATTTTCATGTCACTCAGTAGAAACTCTTCTGAGCATGGGACCAACTCGCAGAGCTCCCAAATGGACAAACGATCATCCAGTCTCGTGGTTCGGTCCTGGTATCCAGTGTCCAAGCCAGAGGCCACGGTTACACAGGGGCAGCGGGGCAGAAGCAAATAGCAAGGCTCAATGCTCCGCCGCCACAATCAGAAAGAATGGGAGTGTTGATAGGGCTTCCCGGGTTCTCAAGGTCTGCGTCCTTTGAAGTCCGCAAAGCATGGATGGCGTTTCCATCCAGGACTTGCTCGAGCTCCTAACAGGATGCCCTACGACATGAATCACTCAATAAGCTCCTCATTCACTCAATGAGCTGTTCGTAGTTCATTGTCTTTGGCCTCGAAGGTCACGCTGCCATGACCAGGAACATGGCCGCTCATCGATCCATGAAGCAAACGGAGCACTACATCTAAAAACGGTGCATTGTATTGTTCAAGTCAAGCATATCAGATTGAAACCATGGATAGCAAGTGCACTCTTGATTAGCCCAGGATTCGGAAGGCAAAAGCTTTTGAGATCTTGTATCCGACATGGTCGAAACTAGGCACAGCTTACCTCCGGCCAATCCACAAATCCTACCCTCACCTATGCTTCGAGTTCACCAGATATCGCCGGCATCGCATCTGCACCCCAACAATGCTGCATAGATCTGTACATTCAATGCCAACTAGACGCAGTGATGCATTGTATCCGGCGTGCGTTTTGAACTGATGCGTCCATCCTCCAGCGCCCTAAACATGCTTTAAGCACGTAGATGCTCCACAGCCCAAAGCTGCTAAGAAGAAGTTGCGGCAGCTTCAAAAAGCCTTTCACAAGTTCTCGTTGCCTGGTTCACAGAGCGCTGGAGAACCTGCGGATCAGTGCAGCTTTATCTCACAACAGCCAGGGCCTGTGAATAAGCCAAGCCAAGCCTATCTGGTGGGAACCTTCAAAATACAAAGCATTGGGGAGGGCAGCAAGTATAGAAGCTGAAACTAGCTGGCCTGCGTGACTCTTGCACTTCCTGTAAACGACGAAGCTGTGCTGACTGCCTGCACAGTCGGGCATGGAGGGTCACATGTCACACGAGGCGCAAAATCTGTGCCAAGTCGCAAGTGTGTCAACAACACAGGGGCTTGCGGACCCGCGACGGCGTTTTCACCTGGCCCAGTCGCAACGTGTTCCCCAAACGCATCAACTCGAAGCTGATTTGGCTTGCACTCTGGCAACGCATGCTCCTATCAGACGAGCCGCAAGCATCCACTGCGACGCCACGAGCCACAGCGTCAACCTGCAACACCATGCAGATCGTCGGAAGACAATTTTGCGTTGGCTGGCTGAGGAAAGCATTCCCAAGGCTCTGCCGAGTCCGTGCTGGACAGGAAAAGAAAGGATTAATCGAAAAAGCCCGTGTTCAGCCAGGAGCCTCTACTCCATCACGCTCCATGTCTTGGAAGAGGTGAATCACTTCCCGCCTCACTCGAGATTTTCTCGAATCTGATCCCATCCACTGCTGTTCCATTCACTCTATTGGCTACGCATGCTCAAAAATGCAGACCCCGAGATCGACAGGATAATAATCTCATGAGCATCTGGCCATTGTCCAGCATCTCTGAAGGTAGCCATTGCAGAGTTGTAAGCCTTGCAAAGGCACACATCGCTCGGCGCAAGACTTGGGGAAAGCTGAAAAAGTTCGACATTTCTGCCACTCTGCACCACAATAATGACGATTCCTGGAATTGTGTGCAGATCAGACAAACTTAACACGGCTTTTTTACAACATGCCACCACGCACGACACCCATCGGACGATTGAAAATCTACTCCCATGACATTCATTCTTTCTCGAACCGCTCTAAACGCGCGGCAGGGGGCCACCAGATTCAGCGTCTGCTTCTGGAAATGCAGCTCTTTCAGGAGTTGCGCAGAGCGGCGCCAGCCGTGGCCTGAAAGACAGGCGCAAGACAGCACTAACCAACTCACCGAAAGCAGATCTTCGTAGAGTCCCAGAGCGGAAGGCCGATGCGCAAGAAGAAGCCGACCACTCAGGCGGCACTCCAAGAAGCAAAAAAAAACATCTACAGCTGCATGCAGTTAAAAATTACTCGACGCCAGCCCAACCTGGTTCATACAACAACCGTTTCCGTTCGTGGCAGGTTCTGCGCGCGAATACAGACCCATCTGATTGAGTTTACGAAGCGGCAACGGACGGAGCCAAGGCTTGGCGTTAGGGCGACAGCGCCAGCCCTGTGAAGCCGACCACTTCAGTGTTCCCATTTTGTCGCGCGGAGTTGCCTTGTACGAAACATTACCGACTTGCTTTTGCATCATTGCCGCCCCGGGGTCGCAAGCTTGAGGAAGAATGGAGGCGATGCACGCAAAATGGATGCAGTGCAGTCGGCGTGGCTTAGTCATGGCCTTCGCCTGCGGCATTGATGACAGAGCTGGTCAGAGCCACGTCTCTTTCCACACCTTGCAGGGGCAGATGGCTTTTTCCCACCACAAGATTTGCACGGCTCTGAGAAACAACAGTAGGATCAGTATAGTAGGAGAGGAACAAGACACACAAAAGGCAGATCCCGCGCGCTCTCCCAGATTCACAGTGCGACTGCGTGCGTGCCTGAGCTGCACGCCCGGGAATAAAGGGCTAACCCATGCTGCCACATGCTTGCTTTCGCACATGCACTGATGGCGGCACCTGGCCAGCTGCAGCGCACGGTGTCGCAACAAGCATAGTAACAATGCTGCAGCCAGTCATGGTCAAATCGACCCCACGAACCCAAGTCAATCAAGGCACTGAAGACCACGCCATTCACTTCCAAACTCTGAGCCAGAAGTGATGAAAGAAGATCCAGGGCCCATTTCCACTCTTCGTTCTTTTCACAGGCGCTGATCGCGGCTCCATAGGAAACAACATTGGACAAGTTCTGACTTACAGCTCGAACCAACAAATGCAAGGCCTGCTGCCAGTTGCCTGCTCTGTCACATGCTGTCGTCACAGCGGCCAGAGTTACTACATTGCTCTCAATGCTGCTGTCGTTGACCCACGCCAAATAGTCTAATGCCAGCTGCCAGCGACTCGCGTGACCCAAGGCACTGATCGCGGAGTTGTATGGGATCACGTTTGCCTTCCACCAGGATGTGCATGTGGCTTTGCCAAGCTTCAGTAGCGTAGTGGCCATTGTTGTAGTCGTTGTAGCTGTTGTCGTTATTGTCGGAGTAGGAGGAGCAGTAGCAGTAGTTGTTGTTGCAGTTGTAGTAGTAGTCGTAGTAGTCGCAAAAAGTCGTAGCAGTCGTAGTAGTCGTAATAGTCGTAGTAGTTGTTGCCGTCGTAGTAGTAGTAGTAGTAGTAGTTGTTGTAGTTGTAGTTGTTGTTGTAGCCGCAGCAGCAGGAGTAGTAGTAGTAGTAGTAGCAGCAGTAGTAGTAGTAGTAGTGGTACTAGCAAAAGCAGGAGCAGCAGTAGTAGTAGCAGTAGTAGTAGGAGTAGCAGTAGCAGTAGCATTAGCAGTAACAGCAGAAGCAGCAGTAGTAGTAGTAGTAGTAGTACTAGTAGTAGTAGTACTAGTAGTAGTAGTAGTAGTAGTAGTAGTAGTAGTAGTAGTAGTAGTAGTCGTAGTAGTAGTAGTGCTAGTACTAGTAGCAGTAGCAGTAACAGTGGCAGGGGCAGTGGCAGTAGCAGTAGCAAGAGCAGGAGCAGAAGCAGTAGCAGGAGCGGGAGCAAGTACTGCTACTACCACCACCACCACCACCACCACCACCACCACCACCACCACTTACTACTACTGCTACTGTTACTGCTACTGCTACTGCTACTGCTACTACTACTACTACTACTACTACTGCTATTTCTTCTGTTACTACGACTGCTACTACTTCTACTTCTATTTCTACTACTACTGGTAGTAGGAGTGATAGTCGTAGTAGCAGTAGTAGTACTACTACTACTACTACTGCTACTACTACAGTACTAGTACTACGGTTGATGATAGAAATCCTGCATTACCTTAATGACCCTCTATGGGAATTATGGTATATTCATTATTATGGGTAATGCAGGATTTATACCATCAACCGTGGTACTTGTGCAGGTACCAGTCCTAGCCCTAGTCGCAGTCTCAGTCCTAGTAGGGGTAGTCGTAGTAGTTGTTGTTGGTGGTGGTGGTAGTAGTGGTAGCAGCAAAGCCAGGCCTGCACATCTGAGAGCTCCATGTCCTTCAGCAACGCAACTGCATATTGCCACATCCGGCTTCTCTCCATGACGCTGATTGTAGCACTGTAGATGACGACGTTCGCCTGCCGTGCATGCTGACAGTGAGTTCCTGCGAGCTTAAGACTGAAGGGCCGCCTGCAGGCGAACGTTTTGCACTTCTGCCAGGAAAGCGAGCGATCGAGACCACTGTACGTCGTTCTCAAGGGCAGCGATCGCTGCGCCGAAAACCTTCAACTATGCCCAGCACACACGCTAAGACTCTGAGACAGCTACGGACAGTGCGGACTGATTGCCCATGCAGGCCAAGCGACTACAACCGTAGCCTGCAAACCTCCAGTTTGAAGTTCTCACAGTACCCACAGGAGCTGTAGAATCCCAACATGTCAGCATATCGAGAAAGAATCAGCTTCTGCAATCAAGTCGCCTCTGCTCCGAAGCTCTGAGACCAGCTCAGAGCTCCATCGCCATTCTTGACCTTGGCAAGAGCACTTTCATGTCGCCGAGACAGCCGTGCCTGCCCCGCCCACTCATCCGAGCCTCTGCCGCAGGCACTTACTGCTGTTCCATAGGAGATTGCACCTGGCGATGAAACCAAGCAGCTAGAAGCAGCAAGAAAGAACGACAGGTTGCAAGCACGATGAACACTTGCACAAGCATGCTTGCACATCCTGCAAGAAGCAAAACACGTGCAAGAACATCGCCATTGCAGCTTCGATGCTTGGCGCTCTTCGGGCGCGGCGCATGTCCTGAGGACGATTCCGCATAAAGTGACGACCTTGAACCGCAGCTTCAAGAATCCGTCCTCCAAGACTTTGACCGCGTCTTGCCAGCGGTCTCCCTTCTCGCAAGCAGCCATGGCTGCATTGAAGGTGATCCTTACTGTATACTCGGAGAATGAGTGGGTGCCATAGAATCGGTGAAACCGGTTGCTGAAGAAGGCAAGGCTCGAGTCCGTCTTGATGGAGCACCTTCGGGAAGCGAGCAACAGCTTGCCAAGCCGATAGGAGAATAAAGGGGAAGACGGGCATAACGGCATAATAGTGATGCCACACCAGCCTCACAGACTAGGCAGAAGTCATATGATGGAGTGAGTAGTTGGAATTTGCCACTCAGTTCTGCTGACTCAGCTCCTCTCATCGGGTCATTCCCAGCACTACATCAGACCGACACGACAATGCGAAAGGACATTCAGGGTTTATGTACGTGGCATGCCGAGTGGGTTGCGCGATATTATCGAGTTGGTGTCATCACTATTGCGAACCAACCATGTGCTCAGCATAGCAGCTGATATCCCATGAAAGTTGGGCTTCATATTCGCTTACGAAGCTCTTCGAGCTGAGATGCTGCTGTGCGGATGCTAGGCATCTCAGCGCTGGTTGCCACACATTCGCCTCACAGGCTTGAGACAGAGAAGAAGGCGCAAAGGTTTGTAAAGCGTAGCAATCGGTGGACAAGTCATTCTTGTCCAAGCTTCTTTTTCGCAAGCACTGACTGCCGAATTGATAGTGATGACATCTGGCTTTAGTAGCTGGTCCCGTAGGCCGCGATGGAGCAAAGCACCCAGACACCAGCGACCGCTCTTCTCGCAAACGCTGATGACCACATTGATGGGGATAAGATTCAATTGCAAGCCATCTGAAGAGATGGCCCGAAGCAGGTGGAAGGCGTGATCCCATGATGCATCTTTGCGGCAAGCGCTTAAAGCGCTGGTGCGAACCTTTATGCAGCATCGCGGATTCACGGTGGCTTCTTGCCACATGCCATGCCTCTAAACGAAGACGTCTTGAGCAAAGTTTTCGACACAAGACACTGCTCCGATCTGCTCAGAATCACACAAGAATAGCTCACAAATGTTCATCGCGGGCTCACCACACAATGTGGATCAGCAGGGTCTATTTTCAAGAGCTGCGGCGTCTAGTCTGGTGGCCAACCTGCTGCGCAATATGCCAAGGGAATCCAGCTTTGATAACACTGGCGGGACCTGACAAGCAAATGCAGTGACAACTCTACACTACACTCACATCATCGCCTTTGGACATGATACGAATACCAAGTCTTCTATGCCTGCTGGAGGTCCATGAATTCAAAGGCGCTGATCACGGCAGCATAGGCCACTGAATCAGGATTCAGCTCGCTGGCACAAAGCTCCTCACTGGCTTTACAAGCGCATGACCATGTGTGTCTCGGACGAAGCAACATCCAGCAAAACGACTCCGATGAGAGGCAAGGATCGAGATAGAGCGTGAGCCTTGGATCATGGGCTACCGTTAAATCAAGCCTACTTCTGAGGAATCGTCGACGGACATTTCCAGCACTTGGAGAGTCTGGCATGCAGATGCAGACTGCATGCCAGGGAAGACAATACTACGATTAGCAGCAGTAATCTCAGCATGTCTTTGCAACAACACTTGGCATCCTTCTTCTTTGCAACCAAGACGCACTTGGTCCCACTTACTTGCACAACTGCATGCAGCCAGAGCTGCATTATACCTGCAAGCTTGTGTAGTTGGCTGCACATACAAAGAGTGAGTCGATCAATTGTGCACATTGTCGTCAAGCGGCGTTATGATATTCGGCTGCAACATTCCCCCTGCCAAGTTTCCAGGACCACGTCGCTCTTGTGACCGCAGGGGATGCAACTGCAATGCCACGAAAAGGAGCAGACTGCATTACGGACCTTGTGCAAGTCGGAGAAGCTGCACAGCTTCGTTCCACTTCATTGCTCGTTCACCTCACGACTGTGAATTTTTTGTTCTGCGAAACTCGTGCAGCTTCCCTTCGCAACCACAGGCCAAGAGACACGATTTGACTATTGCATTGAAAGTGATGATGTTGGCACGCAGGCAGCCTGAGCTCCGGTATGCCGTGCACAGCTGCGGCCGAGAAAATGCTGTGCCTATAAGCTTATAAATAATAACCTTGCATTCAATTGAGCCCCAGTTCGAGCTTGCATGTCTTCGAGGAGGTGTAAAGAACGCTGCCACTGGTCACAAACCTGCGAGCGAAATTGCTTTGAACAGACGAGACTGCATGTTCAAGCATTTTGCAGCAGTGCCTCGCAGGCACTGATGGCCGCCCCAAAAGTAATGGGATTGGCTTCAAGCAGCATGTCTTGAATAACATCCAGCAGCCACAGCGCCCTGCGTCAATCGTCAACATCCATCACAACACATCAGGGCTTGAGTGACCGGGCTGATAAGCTTTAGGCTGCATGGCAGACATAGCCTTCTACCGTACCAGTACTAGCCGGTTTCTTGAGGCAACAATCGGAAACCAGCTAATCAGTTCTCGTCTGCACAGCACGACGTGGCCTTCGCCATTGCTTGCCCTTTTCGCATGCACTGATGCACGAGCTGCACAAGACAATGTCAAACTCCATGGTGGAGCAGCGACCTTCGATTCGTTTCGGTGCTTTGGCATGAGGTGCCACTGCAATCATGCATCAACCCTCCACACTTGCCACACGAAACCGAAATCTAAGCAAACATCGGTTCCAGTCGTTTTTCACCGATGCCACTAGCATTTGCCGTGAAACGGCCTCTACTTCTGAAACCTGCTCTGCGGAATCAATTCGAAGAGGGAAAGCACAGCCAGGGTCCTGTTCCATGCTTTGAATCGATCGTCGTGGTTGCTGTTTGCCAAAGGTCAAGTCCAAGAACTCATATCACCCTCGAAATTCAGCCAAGGTACATCTTTGAAGCAGCGAGTGAGCGACGACCCAACAAGCGGCCTTCCTCAATTGCCGGTGCTCGCAAAAATCCGATGCAAAGAAAAAGCATGTTTCAGATGCGTCGCTCGCAAGCACTGATGACTGTGCTCGTTGGGATACGGTTGAGGATGCAGCTGCGTGCCTCATAGGGACACACCCCGAACAAGCTTAAAAAAGCATGACGACCAGAAATCGGCACAGGCCTGCAATTGCAGCAGCTGCTGGACAGCCTGCTGCCATGCTGTCATCACAACAACCTTCCGAAGGGTGCACCAGGGCTCACTTCAACACGGGCTGGTGTATCCAATTCCAAGCAACATCAAGACAACAGCGGCTCCAGCTTGCTTCTTCCAGCAGTAGACACGCTTGCGCCCACATGCCGGCAGCATCGCAACAGGAAATGCTGGCACCTTGCTGCTCTTTTTACCGATTCAGCAGAGCACCAAGATGGACATGATTCATCAAATGTGGCACTTGGCCAAAGCTATGCTGAAAGTTGCTGAAGGACTGTGGGTGACCAAACTCCTGGCATGTGAATCAGGTAACGCTTGCCAGTAAAATGAACTGGAGGGGAAGCGAAACCAGCACTCCTCTTCTGCTGGGAAAGATGAGAACGAATGTCAAGAGCGCGAAGCCAATGTGTCCCGGTGGCACCTGAAACTGACATTAGAATTAGAACTCGTCAGACGAGCGTGCTGGATCTGGGACATCTGGCCAATAAGCGTGTTCATAAAGATCAAGTTGGCTTCGAGATCTTGGGTTGTACAGCCTCCAGGCAACGCAACACACATCCACCACACGGCCTGATAAAAGCACGTGCCCGGCAGCCTTGGAAAAGGCCGCATGCCTGCTTGCAAATGGCTTTGCTGGCAAAGTCATGCACTGAGCGACAGTGATGCAAGCAGTGGGCATTTGAGAGATGGCCTGCCACCACGACCCATGTGACGCGAGTGATGCCAAGGCAGTGCCAGCGAGAATGGTGCTGATGCGAAGTGCCTGCATCTTGAGCATGCAACTTCAGGCGCTCAGCACGTCCCGGGACTGCCCCTGGCCCCCTGCCTGAAGCCTTAGCAAAGACAGCAGCACAAAGACCTTCTGCCATGACGGACTCATGGCCGAGGCTAGCAGTCCAGCATGAATCACCTGAGTGAACAAAGTGATCTGCAGCAAGAGCAGCACGGCATGTGCAGCCAGGCTGCGTTACATTCCATTCCAGCCCACTGCTGAGAGTCGAAGACATTGACTGCATGTGGCCAGCGATTCGGAAGATGTCCACTGGCTTGCATTGCAATGCTGTAAGAAATGGCCTTAGCCGTCCACGAAGCATTCGTGTCGGCAGCAGTTCTCAAAGCAAGAATGCTCACTTTTGGTTGCGGGCATTCAGCTGCAAACCACAGGCGACAGTCACAAACCTCAGACGAATGTGTGGAAACAAAGTGCAAGCGTCCGAGTGAAATGACTCTTTGAGCTGCCCTGGAAGTGCTTGCCAAGATGCGCCTGCTGCGCCAGGGTCCACTGACTGTTTCGAGTAAGCGCTAGCAAGGCCCTGTTGCATGCAGGCACATCTTCCTGCCAACGCAACGGCCGTTTGGATTTTCACCCGACTCATGCTCTGCTAGCTGGCCTCAGCGCCAATGCGGCTCATCTGGCATAATGTGGACGCCCATTGCTGGTCAAACGCAGTACTACGCATCAGACCTACAAGGAGAAGACTTACTGGTAAGATTCAGCGATAGCCTACAGCATAATGTTTCACTTCCAGGTGTCGCGGATCCAATACGCAGAGTGCTAAGATCAGGATTCCCAGCAAGGCAGCTCAAAGCTGAGAGCCTGCGAAAGCAAAAGCTCCACGCTTCTGGCAGACTCTCGAGCGTCGAAAGCCCGATCCTGCTCGGATCTTTTTCTCTCGCCATGTCATCAATGTCAGGTGATAGGCCAGAGTCAATCTCAATCGACAGCTTCTCGAGCGTTTTAACAGCCTTCCCAAAAATCACAAGACACTCTAGCCATGCTGGTGCTGCTTCTGTTGTTTATGTGCCTTTTCAAGGGTGGAAGCTTGTGTGCGTCGGAGGTGCCTCCAGGGGCCGTGATGCACGAGAGAAGCTGCTCAGCAGCGAACTTTTTAGAAGGACCTCAAGCAAGCAAGGGTTTGTTTTGGTGCCTCTACTGGCAACTTTTTCTACCCTCTCTGCAGCTTAGCAGCGTTGGCCTCGACTGCGCTCTCGCCAACGTCCCGCATCAACTGCTGCGCACGCTGCCAGTGCGCCGCTTTTGCGCAGCTGCCCAGCGCGCAGCCGCACAGCACGCAGTTTACCTGAGCACCCTTGCATCAAACATGCCACAGGAACACAGTGGACCCTCAAACCATGAAGACCAGCCGAGAGTCATCAAGCACATCCGAGCCCAGCAGGGAAGATGCCAGGTGCCATTGCGTGCCGGATTGGCATGCACTCAAGACCTGACAGAGCCGCTTGCCAGTCCCCGGGCCCTGCCCACAGCACGGAATGTCAAATTGGCAATACTTTCCGAGAGTCCGAGCGGCAGAACCACGCATAATGACATCAACCAACAGCGCCGTCCTGGATTCTGCAAAACATGCCCTGTCTTCTCACGGCTAGATCTGCTGCACGCAGTCCGTTGGGCGCATTGAAGGATGTGCATCACCTTGGGCCAATAGCCTGCGGTGGAGCAGGCATTCATCACGGTGCTGTAGGCCTCAAGGGTCCGTAGCGGCATAGTTTCGAATGCTGTTCCCAACACATTGTAGTGCATCGGCTGGACAACCACTGATTGGACAGGGCACAGGCATGTTTGCAGACAGCGCGGCCAGCTGCAAGCTGCACAGAAGGTCAACGGAGTCCAGCCATCTATCACATCTTTCGCAGGCCTTCGGCTGAGGCTCAAGTGCATCTAGCTTTTCAGCAATGCGGGCTGAATCTGGCAGAGTTGCTCCGGCAGCAGCAGTATACGCCACAGTGCTCGTTTGCAGCATGGCTCCATTCAGCGTCCGCAACATTGCCAGGCCTGATTGCAATATATCCGAGGCTCAGCCATACATACGCAATATGCACGCAGGAGTCAGACCAATTGGCTCATGTTCTTTGGGGCGAAGACCTCCTGCCCACTGACCGCTTTGCTCGAACGCAGAGATGCAGGCACAGTGTGAGATAATATCATCACACACAAGCCACAGCCTCAACTGTGTCGAACTTGCATAAACGGTCCGACTTACCAAGCTTCCAGAGAAATCCCACCTACGCGGTACGAATAAACGGATTACACACTGAAACCAAAGTTGCGGTCAAGCAGCGACATCTCGAGCAGTAGGTTTGCAGCATGCTGCCATCGTCCAGCTCGGCCAAAAGCGGTCATCAGAGCATTGCAAGTCAGCGCACCCAGCTCCAGAGAAACCTCCAGAAATTCCTTGGCTGGTGCACTCAGCAACTACGCAAGTCAACCCACAAGGCCAGAATAGAGGATCATGATGGTCCAAATTTACGGTGGAAGCCGCACAAGAAGCGTGCAAGGTCAAAAACAGACCCGCACCATCACTACCAACGGCTGCTTCGCCATTTCGCTGCTTCGTGTTGCCACGGGCTGAGAGACTCTCCAGTTGCAGCTTCCCCAAATATCAACCCTTTAAGTCTACTCATTGAGAGAACTTCGGAACATGGAAGGCCGGATTTCAGAGTTCGGCGTCGCGGTGTCGCGATGATTGCGATGATTAGAACCCCTGCTTTGTTGAGACCGGGCCACGCAGAGCAAGATGAGAGCCCTCTGCCACTGGTGGCCCGAACCACAGGCACTGATGAGAGTGTTGTAGCAAACGCTGGTGGCCTGACAGAAACAGCGGCATTTCTGCATGCGTTCAAAGACAAATTTGCTGCAGAATCTCCGGACCTCTAGTTGGTCACCCGTCATCGTTGCGAAAAGATGCAATGCCATTTGCCATAGGGCTGCTTTCTCCTGGGTCAACAGACTCTGCGATCATTCTGTCGACGAGTTGCCCTCAGAGCAAGAAAGGTACTTTGTTGCAGGACCTTGCTTACCAAGCATCGCAGGCACTCATCACGGAGCAATACGAGATAACATCTGGAAGGAGGCTGATGTTTGATCCGTCCTCAGCCGAGGATTAAGCGGTTGTTAATCTTCCTCCTTTCAGAACAGAACTGATTGAGAATGCTGATTTCCTTCATGCAAACCAAGCTTCCGACAGAATGCGGAACGTCCACTGCCAATGCCTGCCAGTCCACAGGATGTTGACAACTCAGGGCCAGCAGGTTCAGGGACGTGCGTTCGGTGCAGTGACACCAAAACCATGGCTCCATGCTACATCAACCGTGGCTCCTGCAGATGGCGATGGCCGTGTTGCAGGTGACCTCGGTTCAGCTGCAACTTACTTCTGGTCCAAGTGTCAGTTTACTCCGATCGCTGGCAAAGTACTTCTGGACGTACAAGGGAAACCGCGCAGCATGCCAATGTCAGTCTGGCGACACGAGTTGGTTGGATATGAGCTTGTCGTAGCCTGCAGTTCCAACAATCTTTACAAGTGTATGTGTGTGCCCGCACATCTGCCCAAGCTCACTTTTGGCTGTCACTCTGTGCATGCAAAGCGCACTCGGTTAGATACGACAAGGCCTTGCATACGAGTTCACCGCAAGCTGCCAGTAGTTGGCGGATCCAGAGGAACTCATCATCGCATTGTACCTAATCATCTTGTTATCCGCACCTCCCTGGCCTGTTCTAGGCTATCCAACAGATGCGTGGGCTGCCAAGACGCGAGATTGCATCAGCTTGAAGTCGTCGCTCCAAACGCATGAGGCAAGCTGCAGCTTGTTCCTCGGCCAGGGGCTCCAAGTCTCGGCTCTGACGGTGAACCGATGGGATCGAGCCACATGTGGATTTAAAGATGGGTCTGTGGTTCAAGGTGTGCCGTAACCTCTGATGCAAACAGCTAACTTCCGGAAGGGTGCTCGGGGCTAGCACATAGTCAACGCACTCTGTGCCGGCACAGACGTGGTCGACACAGCAGGCCACAATCCTCCACCGTGGCTCTCCCAGCAAAGGCTCTTATTCTGCTGATCTGGCAGATTTCCGGTGCCGCTAGTTTTCCATCTGGTGGCTTCTCACGATTTCTTTGGGTGCCGTACTTCCTGCTGTGTACTAAGTTCACACCAGATACCATTTTCGTCCGGACCATCGCGATCGATCAAGCAATGACTTCTTGCTTGCCGCTTCCAAAATTGCGACCTCTTCGTTTCTGCATCGCACGCAATGCAGCTCTGTCAGTCACACTTGCGAGATCAGACTGTCAGCGACATCCTTGTATGATCTTTCTTCACTGTCTGTCCTGCGGCCAGTTGTTCCCGAACCATGTCACTAGCGTCCGATACGCACCAGCGGCACCGCTGAAGTCTTGCCCGTCTGTCGATGCTGTCATCACTGACGATACACTCTCGTTTCCAAGCATTAGAACGAATTTTCCAGGAGGCTGTAAAATGCAGGAGCAAGCCGCCTGGCTGCAAGGTGTCGATGCAAGCGGCGACAACGGAAATACAGTTCTCTCTTGCTGCGGATTGTGGGCTCTGGGCCTGCTTTTTGGAGAGGCGCGTCCAGCAGATGAATGACTGGACGTCAAGTTGCACTACTAGTAGTATCGATAGTTGCCATCGTAATCGCCATCGCAGCTGACTATCAGGTGTTAAAGTAGACGTTGGAATCGTCGTAGCAGTGGCGGCAGCAATAGCAGCAGCAGCAGCAGCCGGAATAGTAGCAGCATTAGCAGTAGTGTAGTACGACTAGCAGCAATAGTAGAAGTGGACATAATAGTAGTAGCAGTAGTAGCAGTAGCAGTAGCAGTAGTAGTAGTAGTAGTAGTAGTAGTAGTTGTTGTTGTTGTTGTTGTTGTCATCGTCGTCCGCTGTAGCAGAAGCAGTAGTAGCAGTAGCAGTAGTAGCAGTAGTAGCAGTAGTAGTAGTAGTAGCAGCAGCAGGAGTAGTAGTAGTAGTAGTAGTAGTAGTAGTAGTAGTAGTAGCAGTAGCAGTAGCAGTAGCAGTAGCAGTAGCAGTAGCAGTAGCAGTAGCAGTAGCAGTATCAGTAGCAGAAGTAGTAGTCGTAGTAGCAGTAGTAGTAGTAGTAGTAGTAGTAGCAGCAGGAAAGCAGCAGTAGTAGTAGGAGCAGCAGCAGGAGTAGTAGCAGTAGTAGTAGTAGCAGTTGAGGTCGTCGTCGTCGTCGCCCTCGTCCTCGTCGTTGTAGTCGTAGGAATCGTGTCGTCGTCGTAGTAGTACTTGTAGTAGTCGTCGTCGTTTCAGTGGTGGTTTTAACAGTAGTAGATGCCGTCGTCATCATCATCGGTGCTTGGAAGAAGGAATCATTGGACTGCTGAAGCGTCTTCTACCACATTCTCCTACCCGGGTATGATCAAGAACCTTCAGCTGAGCTTCCCAGTGGCCAGCCTTGTCACAGGTACTGATGAAGGAGTTGTATGATATCAGACTTGCTTGAATAGCACGACAGCGAAGGTTGCTGAATATGGATGAGCTCAGCTTCCACTGCCTCAGCGGTTGCATGGCCACATGCATGCCGCCGTATGACAAACAAGAACAGAGCAAGCCTTGCTAAGAAAAATTAGTCCAAATGGCTCTCCGGCATCACAGCCGATGACTGCATTGTGCAGAATGACATCAGCCTCCAAAGTGCGATCCTGCAAGTCCTCCAAGCGCAGCGTTTTGCTCTCTTTGAAGTTGGACACCCGGGTCACGGCATCTCAGTCCTCAAATAGCTGCAGTGCCTTTGGCCACTGCTGCAAGGCCGATGCCGAGATCGTTGCAGTGTAGACCACGGCGTTGACCTGAAGTGCAGCATGTACTGCGACCAGTTTTGCTGCCCGTGTTGGGCGCTCGGCTCTGCTTCGATTTGACCAGAAACAATGTGAAACGGCGACAGCGCTAGAAATCCGCCCGGCCTCCAAACTCTGGTGCGAAGTGAAGGCGAAAAGATCAAGAGCACTGTGCCAGAGTTGGGACCGCCGGCAGGCTTGAATGGCCTGAACATGCCTCGGCTGGCGATAAGTCTGCCTATGCTCAATCCAGTGGCCTCAACAGGGACAACGTCAGCAAAGCTACTAAACCCTAAACCTGAGACCCCACTGTATTGTCAGGGTGCTCTCTCAGTGCGCTGGCGCTCGAGCCAAATCGGTGATCCTTCCCAGCATGCCAAACAAAACCCAGCAGCATCGCATTTTTAGGTACTTTACTTTGAGTTCTCTGCCTGCTCCGACCGAGGCAGAGCAGCATTCCCCGAAACCGAGGTCAGACCTTACTGGATTGATATCTTGAATCCCCGAGCACCCCAGAGCCTGCGATGTCTGAACGAATGCCCTCAGATGCATCCATGGGCCGGCCCATGATCACACTCTTGACATCATGGGTGCGAAGCAATTCTTGAAACATTAATTGGAAAGTAGTCGGTCTATGCTGCTATGCTTGGTGTGGAAACTGTTTCTGTGACGGCGTAAATTATCCTACTTTCATTGCCTGCAGGCATCTCAGGCCAGGGGCGACCGGTATCATGAATCAAGGCCCATGTCTCGCGACTTGCGATCTGCCTACGGGAGAGTGCTCGCATCAAGTTTGACATGCGAAACTTTCCGGCCAGCTGGTGGTCATGCAAGAGCTCATTGCTCTATGCATGCACAAGCCGCGACCTGCTGTGCGCCAGAAGGTTACAAAGGCTGTCTCCGAGCTCATTGCAGCTCACGGAACACCCGTCTCAGAGGGAAGAATGTTGCTGCAAGGCCGCCAACTCCTTTTGACCAGCCTGTCGGACCGGTCGCAAGCTGTCGCTGCACGCTTTGGAACGACTCGAAATTTATGAAGGCCCTCCGACCATCAGAGTCGCCCCTCCATGTCGAGACATACTGTATGTGTCATGCCAGGAGCTCAAGCATGCCGGTGAAGCTGAATCAAGGCATCGCCCTAAGTTATCCTAGTTGCTCAAAGCCGTCTTGAGAAGTGCCCACACTGCTCACAGAAGAAGGCGACACTGCCGCCTGCAACGATCCGTCCCTCCTGGCCTCGGGCTTTTCCAACAGAAGCTGCCTTGGCTCGAAATAACCACCGCAGCTGTTGTTTCAGCTGGAAATATTCAGACTTGGACCGGGATCAATGTTGCGAGATTCGATAAGCTGCAGGTTGTTGTCGTGTGTTCCGTGGACAGTCTCTGACGCTTGATTCTACCGCTGTCGTGGAGAATACACAAATGCAAACAAGTCACGACAGCTTTTTCAGGAAAAGTCCCGCGTCATGGAGGTGCTTGTCCAATGTCTGCTTGGTGACCTCGACACAGCTCCGTCCAAATTTTCTCGACCGTGCTGCTCAATCCAAAGTCCGTCTTCTCTCTCTTCTAAACTGGGGCTGGATGTGTCAAGGCCACCGGCATGCTCACGTTGGCACCTTGCTTTCCTCTCGTGTTGCCTTTCGGTTGCCTCTTTCTTGCTTTCACCAGGTCGGTTATCGTGGAGGTCGTGCTGCTGACACGTGGAACACTCGAATGTGCTGCTGACTGCTGCGGCATGCCGGCTGTGCTCCGTGAACAAGGCGGGCACATGCGAGCCGGGCATTCACCCGTTTGCTTGCATCTGCACTCATGCGGAAATAAGAAAGGGACGAGGTCCAATCTGTGTAAGTGTAAGGTCGATACCGTCAAGCGGTCCTCGGCTCTTCCAAGCCGTGCCTGTGCAAGAGCGACATGGCTTTGGCGAGTACCAGACTTTGCCGAATACAATAGCGTTGCAAGCGGCCTCGTACGACTTCATGCTGGTAAGCGTCTGCTGCAACACCTGTGGATACTGCAGGAGATTCTTGGGTGTGCAATCGCTCAATTTCAGAGTCAACCTGGCCTTCTGCTGTGCCTTCAGTGCCTTTCGACGCTTCACCTGGCAGATGTCGGTGCTGACTGTGTGAAGATGACCAGTGACAGCCGCGGCTCAGAGCCAGACGCCGTCTTGCAAGCTGGACAAGAAGAGCGACTTCAAGTGGTTTGAAGTCACCTCCAAGCAGAGTTTCTGAATCTGGCTGGGGTGATACGGGAGCCATTCATGGCAGAAAACTTGTCATCCTGGTCTCCAGGATTTTCGGTGAACATCAGTCTCCGAAAAGATGACGCCTACAAAGCAGGAACTGTAAACTCCCACCTCTCCCTGCTTTTTCATGTTCTTCACCCCGTCCGAGAGGACACCAAGCAGGTTCTCTGGCTCTCCAAGATCTGCCTGCGCAGGAGCTCCCATGCGATGCGTTCAGCGTTCCAGGGCTCGCTCTTACAGGCTGGTTGATGCTTTGGCGTAATCCCATGCCTTCCATACTGAAGAAGCTCCCTGCTAAGTGCTACACTGCTACAACCTTAGGACCTCCATGCCTCCTTGTCCAAAGCAGCCGCTTCATCAGGCTCCTCGCGCACGGAAGCAGTTGCACTTCTCATGACTTGCAGCAGTGGCAAATATCACAGCTTCTCAGTTGGAAGGTCTGTCACAAGCGGCTATGCTCGGCAAGCCTCCTCCACCTGAAGAAAGGAGAGGCTGGGTTCCTGTCGCGTAGGAACTCGTCTGCAAGGACTCACGCTGGGCGGCACGGCTCCGAGATGTTTAGCAGAGTGGACAGGACGGTGATAAGTCCTGCCTCTGCCTCGTCCTTCTTGGCTCGCTGCTCGGCGATGGCTATGGCCGAAGCAGCCTTCGGAGGTTTCATGTGCAGGTGGCCAAGTGGCCGCTGCTGCTTCTGGAAAAAAAGACGCGACAACACGTCCTACTGCACAGGTCTTCCTCGGAGCGAAGTCTCGTGACTTAGACTTGCTCTGAAGCAAACAAGCATCTGAGCGGTGTTTTTATTCTGTTTCAATCCTAAGGACGCAAAAACCCCTTCCGCACAACCCTTCCGCCACTGCTTCCGCACCCTTCCGCGCCTCGAAGCGTTGGAACATTTTTGAATCACTGCATGTCGTCCCTTCCGCGCGCCCTTCCGCGGACCGTTTTGCAAGCGAACGCTTCCGCAAGATCATAAACCCCACTTGACGTATCTCCCTGACATTCGGCACGCGGGCAACATGTATTGTGAAACCGCCAACAGCTTGGTTCATGACTGGGCCACTGGGCTTAGGGATTTGGGGATATTGTATGTCTCGTTCGACGAACGTATTCTTCTAACACGGCGGCTTACGTATTCAGACGTATTTGTTGCTTCCGCACCCTTCCGCGGAGCAACGCCTTCTGCAGCCCTTCCGTGTCCTTCCGCACGCACAGTCCCAGAGCGATTTTCAGATCGCGCCGTCAAGAAGCGGATAAAAAAACGCTGCTCATCTGGGCCTACCTACCCCAGAATTCCTCGGGCCCTTTACCCCTTCATTCGCAACCCCTAAACCACTGACCCCTACAACACCGAAACCCTTGTTAAACCCCTAAACTCTCGACGAGCTCCGGCTTCAGGCCTTCTTCTTCACGGCAACCGCCTGTGCTTCCGCGGCTTCGGCTTTCTCCTCGGATACAAAGATGCGCAAATCCCTTGTAATTCCTGGCGCCACCCCTTGGAGCAGCAGACTTGCACTTCGCGCCTCCTCATCCAGAATGGCAAGTTCTGGTGCCTGGACAAGCACACTCCGTCTGGGTCACGTCGCGATCGTGCATTCCACCCACACGCCGCATGTATTCCGGCTGAGAGGATCGAAACGTCTCGGATAGTTTGCAACACGAGTCCACGACATGTATGATTTATGCGAAGTTCAAGCTGTCTGACCATGCTACGGTGACTTCTGACCACTGCTACTGCCCCAGCTGCCCCGTTGAAACTCATGCGCCTTGCTTTCGTCGGCATCTGACAAGGTGTCTACCAAGTACTGCTGCACGGCAGCAAGCTGCTCCTCTGCGGGAGAATCGTTGGACAGCAGGGTCGTGCTGGCATGCGCAGCATGCTCCCCACACCGGTTTGCAAGCTCCTGCATGTTCTTGACCTCCGCTCTTCGCAATGATATGGCCTGACGGTGCTGGTTCGACAAGATGCTCACCGCAAAGCTGGCATCGGTCCGTTTTCATGCCGACTTGCAGCAGCCGATTCCACAGCACGCTGGGAAGGCATTGCTCTCCCGTACACTTTCACAAACGCAACATTCCAAGGAAAAACTGGCTCTTCGTGTCTTGCTGTGTCGGCCTCACGTAGTGTCTTGGACTTGGCGAACGTGGCCTGCAGACAACAAGCACCAAGATGGCAGTCGCAGATCCCATGCATCTGCATCGATGCAGTGGGACAGCAGGAATCCGCAACCCAGCCAAGAATGCGGTGTCTCATGGTAGCAACTACATGCAGTGCCAGCAACTCTTCAGCACCCCTGTTGTCGTTGAAGTTGATGTCTGCTTCTTGCATCTCTTGGAGGTTACAGCGTCGCCTCGTTGTTTTTCTTCAGCTGCATAATGGTCTTGGCCAGATCAGCATTCTCCTGGTGAGTCACAAGTCAGCCACACCGAGGCTATGCAAAAGACATCACGCGAGAGACCCAGAGCGAGAAGAAGACACAAAGGCAAACTGACGAAATCCCTCGAGTCTGAGGGCTGTTCTTGGTTTCCTCTGCGTGCGTGCACGTCTGTCTGTTTTGGTTCGGTCGGCGCAACAATGGGAAGTATCACTTGCTGTGGATCTCTGCCGACAATGTATGATCCGAAGAACATGGGCTTGCGGATCAAGCTGTCGCCAAAAACAACACCGCTCCAACTTAACAAGTATTTGCTTTGGTGCATGATGATGCTCGAGCTCGACCACAGCCGGCCGGGCCTTTGTTGTGCATGGCGACCCGCAGTATTCTATTGCTACGATAGGCCGTCTCCATTTTTCCAACTGATTTTTTCGGTCGGAAAAGAAAACCAAAACCTCTCAGACTCTCGGCCCAACAACACACGTGCGTGAAGTTGTAGATATGTACATCAGATAGCTGGACGTGTACATGATCATCGGAGCAACAATACTCAGGCCATACGACAGGATCCGTCGCAACCCGGTATCGATTTTCACATCGCTACATTGCACAGGTCCTGATTGTATGAGGGGGATTGAGGGGGATTGTCATGAACCAGGTTGGCCGAATCTCCAGCCAAAAAAGAGTCAGCTTTCACGACTCGCGGAGGTGCGGTTGTGCATAGTCTTGCACTCTCCAACAAAAACCTGAACTTCGATTGAAAACAAAGAAGCCCGATTCCCATCTCGTGCCCCCATGCAGCGTTGTGGGACCCGCAGCCGACATTCAAAGGAGTCGAAGACTTCAGCCTGACATATTTTGGTGTCATCCCGGGACCAAGTACCTTTGTTGCTGGCAAAAAAGGGGGGGGGCCAGCATTGAAAGAGCTTGTGTGGATTCTACAGCTTCGCGAGACATGAAGTCACGCAGCGACCCGCGAGAAATGATATGTTAAGAGCAAGTGAGGACGGCAGTACTCAGTACTCCTTCGCCACACCCTGGTTCTTGGCTTCCTGCTCCTGCCAGCGCCGAAAGGCGGAATCTTGCGCTTCACCAGGGCACACACTGCCGGAGAGGCCTTCAGCTTTCGGTCGAAGACTGCCTTCTGCCGCTGAAGGCGCAAGCTGTTTTCATGCTCTATCTTGAGCATCTTCGCCTGGCCCAGCCAAGGCAGAGCGCTGTGATCGAGGGTCTTGTTGAGATATGTGCTGTGCCTCGAGCTGTTTGGCCTCCGAGCTGATGCCAAACCTCGGAAGGAGTGGTTGTCCGTATCGGTGAAAGCAGATTCCACCAACAAGGCTCCTGTGCAGTGCATACTCAGCTTTTCTCAAAACCTGAGCTGCCACACATGGTTTGGGAAGTCGGGCTCATGATGTCATCCAGCGAAGGAAGTTCTGGCATACCTTGCTTGCGGAGAGCTTCTTACGAGTGCATCTTTTCACTTTGGATGTCACTGATGAGCTTGCAAACACTCATTACTGCAGCAACTGCAGCAACTTCAAATCGCATGAACAATCCCCGCAAATCGGAACAGCCGCCGAGTTTAGGTACACACTTACTGTTGCCCGTCTCAGCCATATTTCATGAAACATGGAAGTGACAAAACCCCGCAAAAGAAGAATCTGTGTGCGGGTGGGAGAGACGTGAAATGACATGAGGCGGCATGATGAACCTGCATCTTCAATGCATGTGCAAAGGCACTCTTTTCCCAACATGTTCTACAGGCAATTCAGATGCTTGACACTTGGCACAAAATGAATATGCACCCAGGAGCCATCCTTTCCCGCCTCGGCACGACAGAAATCAAGTCAGACCGCAGGCAAACATGTCGATTTGAACCTGTTACTCGAACATGGCTGCTAGAACGAACAGTAGTGAGAAACTTCATGCGACATGCCCAGAAAGCTAACTTGCTCTCCGCACTGCATCCACAAGACGCGTAAGTCTGAAGCATTTCGGACCGCGGGCACCGCGGGCAGAGCGACTTTGGCGGGATCTGGTGGCAGCTCCCGCCCCTGACCGACATCCGGTGCAGAAATATGCGGAACCATGCAACCATCATAATGAGATCGAGCCTTGGAGGACAGGCCACTCACAGTGCCAAGCACTAAAAATAGGCGCTTCATTGGTCCTGGCACAGTCACAGAAAAACAGTCAGCATGTCCTCACGTGTAAGGTGGCTTCATCACACACAAAGCTCTGTGTAGCAGCACGCATGTTCGCTGCCCTTCTGCACCATCAACCTGAAAGATTGAACCTTGCGTTGATTTACATGCTGGAAGACCAAGAACCCTCTGAACCCGAGATGCCTGTGCCACGGGTTGCCCGACGCTGGGCAAGACCCTCTGAGAGCCATCAAAAATGCGCGCAGCATTCAGTTTCAAGCTCATGAGGGTCAAACAAGCTGTGCACATGCCGCAAACAGATCTGCATGCTTCAAGCAGCAGGCTTCGCTCAAGTTCGGAGCATTTTGCTCGCACGGAGGGCAGCTGTCGAACAACCTAAGCAGCAGCAGAAATGCAGATCACTGACTTTGCTGCGGTGTATCGCATAGCTCAGCAAGTCATAAGAAAACTACAATCCCACAGGCATACAGCACAGGCACTGACACAGCAGATTGTGGATGCAAACAGCAAAGCCGTTTTAACTTCCACACCTCCTTAACAAACCTGTATAACATGCAGTTTCGTTGGCGATCACTTTTTCAACAACCGAACCACATGTGTTCATGGAATAGCCTGATAGCAAAATGCAGGATCGAGGCAACATAAGTAAGCATTGCTTGGCGAAGGTGCTGCAAGCTTGTCCCTGTACTTCTGAACCAATCGTTTGACATGACACCTCTAACGGGCTCTTTTGGACCCTCTTAAGTGGACGCCTCGTTGTGAACTTTGTCCGGATGGGGTGGAAGCTCGTTTCTACCCACCTGGGCCTCCACACACGCAACAAAAACCCTCTTTGCTGTCCTCGCCGGGCTCGTCCCAAACGTCTTATGACTCCATGATTTGTCGGAACATGTTGTTTCTGCTGACCGTTGCGGAGGCCTGCGAAATCCCAGCTGTCCTGTCACCTCCACCCCTCGGTTGCATGTGCTGCTGGGGATGCCAGGAGGATAAAGAACACCAATGCACCAATGCACGGTGGCCAACTGCGGCTGGTATCACAGCACATCATCAGCCATTGCCCATGTCGCAGACCCTCGATTTCGCAAGCGCCCGCTCAAGACACGCATCTGTGTGCCGCCACAGCATAGCAAGACCAGCCACTCCACGATTCGCAAAAAGGCTGCTTCAGCACACGTTGGTTGCGGAGCTTGGACTTAGAGACCATAGATTTGCTGACAGCGGTGACGTCGACGCCTTGCGAATATGTGTACAAGACATGCCAAAGGAGCATGGTCTGCGAAGACGTAAAGCGTTAGGTTGGAAGATTCAGAACATTGCAGGACAGCTTTAACCGATGCAGACCTTCTATGCAGCAACATGCAGAGTCTACGATCACACCGCATAAAAGCATGGAGCGGGCATCCCGCATCCCGGTTCGCATCACAGGAGTTCTCAGCATCATCTTCGGATGCACATCGTCCGAATCTCCGACATCCCTTGCATGTTCCTGGCAGACAAACTCACAAGGTCCACACTCCACACCAAAGCCTGTCTTAACAGGATGCCACGCCCATAGGCGCAGAGCCACACACTCACACAGACACATATGAAAAGCAAAAACAGAATTCAACTTAGAACACGGCTCCAACTGCCAAGCTTCAGGCTCGGACCCTCATGGATTCCGTGGTGAGAAGCGGCAGTCCCGTATGGAGCTAGCGCCCGCGCCGCCTCGGATGCGGATACAGCGGTAGACTTTATGTTTCGTGTTGCAGTTGCATCACAAATCAATGTGACATAATATCTGCTGGAGATAACTTCAAACTGGACTGTCGTTCTCGGCCTTCTGCACTTCAGATCTTGCTCAGGCTTCAGCTAGGAGGCGCAGCTTGCAAACTACCACGGACTACCTCATCCCAGCAGCAAAACAAGAAGCAACATACTCTACGCATTCCAGCTGATGGTAGTGTTGGTATCTCATCGCACCCATGCAGCCAGACCGTCATGGGCAAGCGAAATCAAGCGAAAAAAGCAAGTCATGCATCCATCTGAAACCCTGTTACAGTCTGAGGCCAAGACCGCACCTAACTCTGCAAGCCGCCAGCATTCCAGCACATGGTCTCTGCACCATTGGCACATACAGATGCTGGCTCGACTCAAAAGACTTCTGGGGCGTGCCAAGACTCTTCAAGCAAATGCTCTTGGTTGCAAGACACCTCGTTCAGCAAAGCCTTTGCCAACTGGCCAGCCCCAGTTTCTGAGAAGCGCTCAGACGGCCGCTGCCACGTTGCCGCTGCCACAGTTGCTTCGAGCTGCGACACGTACTTCTATGGTCTAGTGGTGCGTGTACTGATCGTCTAACGGTTGACGGTGGCAGCAACGCTTGCAGACGTCACAGGAAAAGATAATTGCAAACCATCCACGCTGGTGACCGGTGACGTCTCCTCTGCAATACTTTCCATGACACATGTCTTTCGAGCATACCAGGAACCAACTTCTGCCACCCAAGGCCACCTCCTCCTGAACATCTAGGGTGACACCAGACCTTGCTCTCCGGTGGCAGGTTTCGGACACGGATGTTCAAAGCTCTGGGAATCTCACTTCTCCTTGCTTTCGCAGGCTATAAATCGCCACATGCTTCCCAGGGCTGCTAAGTAGTCTACTACATGCCTGGCTTGCTGCATTCCGCAAGGCTTTGCCGACTGCTGCCAGTGTATTTTGATGGTGCTTCAAATCAAATCCGAACACCCTACAAGTGAAAAGCTTGGCACGACACAGTTGGGTAACAGAATCGCTGTACCAACGAACCAATCGTATGCATTGCCGGCAAGCCGCCTTGAAAGAACATGCAGCTGAACTAGGCATACGAGATACTGGAGCTGCACGACACACAAGGCTGAATGCGCTTGTCTAAAATAACTTAAACGCAGACTCTGCGTCGTTCGGCAAAGAATATTGGCCTATGCGTTGCACAGCTTGAGCTTCGCTTTTACGTGTCATGCACCTCCGAGAAACGTGCACACATATGCAATATGATACTGGGCTTGGATCTTGACGAGCCTCATCAACTTCTGCACATCTTCATTCTTCATGATAGATCAGGTGGTGCAACCGCAAGATCACAGTAGTGCTGCGATGAGTCAGCGAAAGCTCCAAGCATCTTTGAAGGAACATCGGCAACAAATGAATGCTGAATGTGTATACTACCAAGGCAGTGATCACGAGATGCTGCAAAGAGAAGGACCCTTTTCCCTTTCCCCTATACTTGTTGCGGTATGCTGAAGTCGTGCTGCCGTCACCTACACGAGAATGTTCGTGTCCCACTGCAGCATCACGGGCGACGGTAGCTTGACGGACTGCATTAACAGCTTGGGGGGGTTGCGGCAGTGTTCAGTGTGAACATGGTGGGTCACCTCCTTTCCAGAAAATCCGCAATCACCTGCCTAGCATGCTTCTGCAACGGAGCCAATCACTTCGCCCTCGGCGCTTGAAGAGAAGCCTCGCTGATTCTGTGAACAATACCTCATCCCCGGCGGCTTTGCTTCTCCTCAAAGAGCCGAAATGTCGTGACAGCGCTCCGTTGCAAGGCACGAGGCGCTGAAGGATGGCGTTCGGATGCTTCCGGTCACGATAGCATAACCATCTGCAAGAAAAATCGCTGAAGAAATGGACGCCGATATCCTTTAGCGCCAGTACTGTGCACAGCATCTGCCTTTGCAAACACTGTATAAAAAAGGAGCCCGCCGTTTCCTGGAACTATATGTTGATTTCTGGTGTACCTGCCTGCACGGAGCCTCCTGCGAAAACTCTTCTCCAGCAAACTCGTGAAACAGTGGGCTCAAGACTGTCAGCGGTGCCGTCGACCAGTGCCGACTTCGCTCCAGGTGGTTCTTCTTCGTTTCTTGAACTAGTAACACACACACACACACACACACACACACGCGCGGCTGCGTGAGATCTGCTGTCCTTAGGCTGGTGTGATCTCACATACTGTCAGTAAATTTACTCCCGGGGCTCATCCGCAATGGTCGCTTTACCCCTTTGGCACGCTGCTCGTTGAATTTGTTTTTGGGACGACAGTCAGGCCTGCCCAACGCAGCTCTGTTGAAATGTTCCGAGAATCTCTGTGAAGAACTGCTTGCCAAAAACTTGCCATGGGATTGAAATCGGTAGATTGACAACACCAGCCTGGCAATGCTGCTACTAGTCCTAGTACTGTCTGACACTGTCTGAAACCAGAGCTGCCCTGAGTCTCGCTGCACTGTTGTGGAGCTCGCTGTGAGCTAAGGCTGTCTGTGGCTGAAGCCGGACCTTCTCTAGCTACTCTCGTTCTTAGTAGAACTAGCTCGCTCAGCCTGTGTCTAAAACAAGCTGCACAACATAAACGGTGCCTTAGCATGAGCGGCGGCATACCATTGTTCAAGGTCTGCATTCGGCTTTGTTATCGGATCTCCCACTCCTGTGCTTCAGGCCCACAACCCATGACCCTTCGAAATTCGCCTGGATTCTGCCAGCATCCCAAGAGCAGTACTGCGCACGTTTAGAAGCCAACTCGGCGAGACCCTTGCAGGGCCAACTCAGAAGCAACGGCCACCTTCGATACTATGCGAAGCCCTTCCCATCTTCCTTATCTTAACATGTCAGGATGCATCGCAATAGCTCAGACCAGTGCATGGTAATGCTGGCAGCAAACGTCCCGAGCCCAGGCGTTGACCCAAGAGCTGTCAGCTTTTGGCAGGTCTCGCACATGGAGATCTTGATGCATTATGATAATAGGAATCACGGGTCCAAGCAGATATTAATCTGCTGATGTTATGTCTAGTGCGCACGACCCATCGAAAGCCAACTCTATGATACACCACAACGTCGAACTTTTCCTTCAGTAGTAGCCTCGGCAGTGTACAGACTTTCGTGTTGATGGAATGACAATCCGCCATCGGGCCTTACCATGCTCTGGAACGGTGCGATCAAACGCACCAAATATCTGCTACACGTCCATGGCTGAAAAGGGATTCGCACTGTTTGGCGGCTTCTTCCACCCCCCGCTCCTCCTCTAACTGATTGGTGATGTTAGTGGTACCAACTATGTTCTTAACCATTCTGAACCCTACATCGGTTCTAGTTTTCTTGATTTGAAGCTGCTCATTTTCCCCCACCCTGCTAAACGGAGAAGCCATGAGATCAACATGGAATTCTGATGCGAGGGCGCCCAAGTGCAACAGCTTGATGCTATGTATCATCTGCACCAAAGCTGCAATCCTGCAAACTTTGCTGAGCCGCCGGGCCTACTGTTCTGCAACTCCCACATCTCCTCTCCTGCGGTTCCGGCTCGTTTTTTCCAGGGTGTGAGAAGCACAGCGTCGTAAACCCTCCACCCCATGCCAAAGCAGAAAACTCAGCTCTGCACCCGCGCCGAGGCCTCGCACTGCGGCGCTTGACCTGCAGCAAGCCGGGAAGCCGCCCCCCATTCTGATCACTCCTAGAGCAGGGTCTCGACATGCCCGGATACGCTCTTAGGCGCTGGCAGAAGCCTTTTCAGGGTGCGGCATGGCAGGTTTCCTTAGCGACAGGAGGTAAGTTGAACTCAGCACGTGACAGGCACTTGCACATCTGCTTGCCTAGCTGGGTTCAGAACACTGGCTCTGGCACATCATCATCGAAATCACCTTGCAGCATCCAGATCGAGGCTTCACCGTTCGGTGCACATGGTAACATGTCGCGCACGACTGCTTTGAGCGGCAGGGTCAGCAGAACCGAAGCTTTGCGTGGCATCATTATGCTCGCCTTGCCCGCTCATGACCTTCTCCCACTTCACTCGCAACCGACGGTTCGGCCTCGGCCCACTACTTGCAGAGCTTGTTAAACGCATCAGATCACGCCAGTGGGTGCAACGACATTTCCGTGCAGGCTGAAACCGAGACCAAGATCCCGGCAATATCGACAGGTTGGCCTTAATTGCCTGCAGCCGGAAATCACAACGCTATCACTGGTAACCAGAGCTGAAGAGCAGCGCTGGCAGCTTCTACAAATCCTCGCCTCAAGGAGTGCGCGACTCTGCTCAGGAGTAGCCATTTGCAAAGCTCGCCTGACAAGCCCAAAGTCATGAAGCCAACAGGTGTCGTTGAGAGGGGGTTCGTGCATACATTCAACAACATGCAATCTCTCCGAGAAGTAGCTGAGATCAAAACTTGGCAACATAGTGCCCATAATTGCCTCAGACGTGGTGAAGGGGATATGTAAAGATCCGTGTTCAGCTCCGAATGCCATGCGACACGGGCCGCATTCACATCAACCGAGGGAATGCTTCATGTTTCTCCGTTTACGTTTACGCCCTTGCCCGCTGGCCATGAGTCGTCACTCCGTTTTACCCGCCGCTAGGACCGACCAGCAATTTGGACGATACTCATCTTCTTCTCTGTTGTCTCCCACATTGCGGCAAGCTTGCCCAGGGATCCCCTCTATCTCCGTCCGAACATGCGGCACCAGCGACACCCGGAAAGCATCCTTTCAAGGTCCTCTGAAACATACATGGCCGGCTGCTGCAGTGGAGCATGCAGGCGACAACACGCCCGTTATTGGAATGACAGACGTTTGCAAAGTAAATGTTCCGATACTTGACACATATCATCAATCGAGGGCTTGCAGCAGATGACAGCCGAGTTGCTGTTGACCAAAACTGACATCTTCTCGCTTTCGACGAGCTCCGCGATGAAGCGGTCGCGGAAGTCCGCAGGTGCCGAGCCTCGAGCTGAGTCGACTTTAGAGCTGCATAAGCTGCCTTTGGCTCCTGAGGTCGAAGCAGAAAAGCTTCTCAACCACGTTGGAGGAGAACTTCTGGATGCTAAGCTGCATCATCCGGCCCTGAAGCGAGAAACGATTCAGAGACTTGCCAGATCCATGCAACGAAGTCCTGAGAGAACTCCTTACATGCTATCCGTTCAAGAAGATCTGGCGTGGCCTCCAGCTTGTGCAGAATCGGCTGGCAACAGCTGCCTCCCCACTCCTGTCAATGAGCTGAATTTATCTGGCAATGATTATTTTTGCATAGAGCCGCTAGCTGCCAATGGCTCTGCGACTTGCGGCCTGTGGCCAAATGCAATAACTTGTCTCCTCCAGTGCATGCTGGATCGCGTAGTTCCCGTAAGGACTCTGGACTAAATCCATTGCCTCAGAAGGCACTGCCTAGCATGATTATCATCACGCATGGAGAGGTGAGTAAAGATGCGCTCTGAGGCACGAACATGCCGGGCAAGCTGCTTCAACAACATGTCCTCAACAGTATATATATATATATAATATGCCCACAAAGACGGCGCCTCGTGATCACAATGTGGTTCGAGATAGCACACTCATGAGAATGACGAACCTCTTTCGACTGGATGCATTATCCCACCTGCATGCTCTGTTGACAACTTCGCTTGTCTTGCTGTTTCTTTTCCGGCAGCAGCATTGGGCAGATGCGACCTGTGCATCTGTTGTGACACGTGACCGGACTCGACCTTGACCTTTAGGCCGCTCAAAAAGACTCTCACATCCAAGTGTTCCGCAGCTGCTCGTTTGAGCACTTTCACTTTAACTTTTGCTGCATCCATACCACAGGTATATTCGCAGCAACACGATAGCCAGGTATTGAAACGCAACTGAAAGTCTTCGTGATCTCAAGCGCGTTCCACCGCATTTTCTCATTCCGTGCATCCGTCGCAGCTTTCTCATCGAATGGACAAGATCATTGACGCGCTTCTTAATGCTCTCTGGCATGATGTTGCATGTCACTCCCTCTTGAGCGCATAAACATATGCTCAAATGGCGTCCTGGTGCTTGGAGCCTGCTTTCGCCTCCAAGCATTCTGCCAAAGATACTGGAAGCAGTGGAAGCCAAGTCAAGTCCACAACAGAATCACCAACATGACCTGTGAGGACTGCGTGTCACAACAGATCAACTACTAAAACTCATCAATGTTACTGCTGCAAGGGTGAGCCTGCGATATGCACTTCTTGAGCACGCAAAGCCTCAGCAATCACAACGAGCGAAACGGCAAGCTGACGTAATAGTCCGTTCCAGAAGTTGTTGCTGCGGATGCCATCCGTAGCGGGCCATATTGGGACAATCAAGAGACTTGCTGAATAGCAAGTAGCACATTCATCGCGACTGCAAAGACATCACCCCCTCGGGACAGCCTCCAGGATATACATCACATCAACACAAGCCCATCTCAGGACAGCGAAAGTAGACGTGCTGATGCCATGCACATGGAGCTCATCCATCTTGATTTTAGCAGATCTATTGTCGATGTTGCAAGTGATAGGCTAAACCATACTGTATCTGAAACATGGTCTTCTGGAACCTCGGCAGGTCTCATGTAGGCATGCATACCAACTAAAACTTACAGCCTTCCAGGGATTCTCTCCTCCGTACAACTTGTAACTTGAAGCCGTGGAATTTGAACGTTTGCAAAAATGAGTCTTCTCTCGCACTTTGTTTGCTCGCCTCCGATCCGTCGCCACGGACACAGCCCTCTTCACTGGAGGCAGTGGACCCCCATGTCTTCCTCAACACCGAGCTTGACATCCGACACCTCCTGCCTGCACCCGAATATTGTGTTCTTCAGGTTCTGAGGTCGCGCAGGCTGATGCACGAGTACGAAAGTGCTCTGAAAGTAAATTCGAGCGCCATCACCGTCTGTGTGCATCTCACCGCATCACAATGACTCATTCCGTCGAATCCCGGGGGCAAAATTCAGCGCCATACACACAATGCAAACTGAAACACACATAAATGCCGGAAACGTCGCACGGGAGCTGGAGGAGCCGGAAAGTCCGAGTCTTTGACCCGTATGGGTGATGCGCCACTTCGATCATTCGATCATTGATGGCAATGTAGATCCACTCCTCAACGATGCAACGGCCAGCACAGGGCACCAAGCAGAAGGGCTTTCAACTGGCATGAAACCGTTGCTCGACAGATCGTTGAGAGCATCCACATAAGGAGACCCCTAGCGACGAGATAAGCGTCAATGCATGACCGCTTGGCAACCCCGTTGTCTTTCGGATAAACGCGGTCGACTGAGGTGCCAGGCTGTGACTGGGGGGACAAAGCAGCAAAGAAGCCTTTGGACCTTAGCATCCATCCGTCGACTCTGGCATCAACCAAACTCCAGCATTCCAAATGGGACCTTCTGAAGCATCCTGCGAAAAAGCCTGATCGCATGGGGCCAAGGTCCCGACGACATGTGTACCATTTGGATCCATACCTCGACTTGCAAAAAGAAAGTTCGATGCTTACAAAGGCTCCATACCTCCAGCAAGCTTGGACTCGACGGCGCTGAAGCCGCTCAAGTCTGCACACTTCTGAGCTCCGGGCTAAGTTCGATGACGCGGCTCTTGATAGCGTTCCTGCTGCTATCTGATGATCTGAACAACCACGAAAACACGTGCACATGGCGCTTTTCAGCGTCTGGTTCAGCGGGATAGTGGGTACAGTGTCAACAGTTTGCTCATGTTCTCTCATGCAAAGTGCAACCAGAAAGGCCCTTTGCATCTCCTGGCGGTCTTCGTGAAACCTTAAACCAAAACCCAGAAACCCTAAAACCCCAAGCCCTAAACCACACAAACGCCAACAAGGCGAAACGATTAGCACTCAAGGACAGGGTCAATTGGGTCTTACGATCATCCAGTCCATTTACTAGGAACCCGCTTTCTGTACACGTGGCCCCTTAGGCGCCACCTGTAAAGGAACTGTAGGAGAAGGTATCCGACAAGGTTGTCCTCTTAGTCCATACCTCTACATCATGGTACTTGCAGTTCTGATCGACGAAGTAGACTATGGTCTTGCTAGTGGAAGAATCCCCACAAACACTTCGTCCGCGGGTAAACCCATCTTCGACCTTGAGTACGCTGATGACACATTACTTCCCTCCTTGACCACACCGCAGCTCTCGAAATTTTCTCATCATTGGAAAGAGTAGCAGAATTTTAGGGGATGTCTCTCAATCAGACTAAGACAGAACTACTGGACATCGGGCACAGCGTCACCGATCCCCCTAGACAGAAAGCAAGACGGAATCTGCGCAGCCCATCCGATACCCAAAGTTGCTTTGCATCCGAAAACCCCCCGGCTTCAGGAATTAGATTGTGGTGTCCATGTTGTGTCAGCCTGAGCTGCAAAGTTTGTGCGGCCATCTGTACGGTCCAATAACGCAGGCTCCGGCAGTTCGTCTTTCTGGACATGACATCAAATCCGGACCTCTCAACAACATAAAACTTTGCGAAAGACACGCTCACGTCGATTTCGTGAATTTTTCATGGCCGCCTAATAGAGAGAACTTACGCCAAAACTAGAACACAGTATCCACGAAACAGCAATGCACACAATACCCGTGCACCCCTGGACCTGCAATATCTTGATTACATGCGTCTCTGACGGGCCGCTTAACATACGCACACGAAAACATAGACATTGTAGAATTCCACCACGAAGTTGCGAGTACACCCATCTTTCCGGTTTGAGTGCTTTAGGCGTGGAACATTTTTGAGATGTTTCTGCAGGGAGCCGTACTTCCACATTTCTGAACTGAGCAATTGTTGCAACTGCTGCTAGTGGGCGGAGTGATTTTGAGGTGTGCGCCGCAATCGCCCGACGTCGTGACACGATTAGAACCAGCCAGACATGACGACGCGCGCAACAGGTGCGTCAATTCCAGACCTGGTGCTTCTTGTGGTTTCGCGAGAAGCTTTCTTCCGATGTTCTTAAATGCAGGAGACCGTATCACTAAGCCACCGGCATCAGCAGCTGCTGCTCCTCTTCGAGCTGCAGCAAGCCAATGAGAGCCTTTCACGTGAAGCATAACCACGTCTAACGGAGGGGATGAGCTTTGTCGTGTACGAGGGTGTGTGCTTGTGTTTCACGATTGGGTCGTTTGGTGCAGGGTTTGTATTCGTTGGGTTGCAACGGTGAGCTGCAATGCCCTCCAATTGCATCATTACCAATCTTCTCGCTGCATTGAATGGCATTCGCACATTGCAAACATCTCAAATTGCAGCATAGCTTCTAAATTGAACATGTGCACGTTGGTGTCCGCAACAAAGTCTTAAACGTGCTCTGCTGTCTTCACTTTGCCCTAGGCATCGGGTTCGGCAGGCGCAACCTGTTATAACCTGTTTCAAGCATGCACATTGCCCCAATGTGTCACTCCTTCCTGACTTCCGCCCTGCGCGTTCTTCTACTCCGTTTTAGAAGAACAAACTCCCAGCAAGTTCCAAAATGTCCCAAGAAGCTGCGAATAAAAACCAATCCCGCCTGTACCACAGCTAATTCAACTGTAAATGACCGCTGTAGGCCGACCATCAGAAAGTGTTGAAGGGCAACTGCAACTCTCGTTGCTTGCCTGAAGAAGCAAATCCTGATGACTTGACACGAACACTTCGCGCTCGCCTGCAGCGCATGCGTGCCACGCTTGTCACAGGCGATGGCGGCAACTTGTGGTGAGAGCTTCTCAAGGATTCGCTTTCTCTGCCTCACAGGTGGAAACTCCAGTTCGATCCATCCAAGCTGCTGATGCTACGACAGTAGTGTCACAACTAGTATGAGACCGAGCAATACACCTGAGACTGACAAGCAAGAAGTCAAGCCGTATCAACCCTCAAATCTAGCCGATGCGCGCACACGACATGCAAGCACTACGGCATTGTTTGTTCGTCGCAAGTGCAGCCCATGCCTGGGAGAGCATGCCTGAAATGCTGCGCCTAGGTGGCAAACTTTTGGCAGCTGCACTCGATTTCACTCCTTGAGGGGTGTGGTAATGGGGAAAGTTCGGGTAGAGCTCTGCATCTGGAGCCTGGCGCAGCGCTGCTAAGGTCGAGGCTACATAGGTAGTTGCCATAGGAGTCGCACATCATTCCCGCAATCTCATCCTCGACCTTTGGCTTTCAGAAACACGGGTCATGGAGCAACCCATAGCAACTCAGAAGCTGCTCGTGGGTGAAAAGTGTTTGCGTCTGTATCTCCTATCCGAGGCCCAAGCTTCTGCGAGGATGACATCCATGATCGGCCCTGTCATGTGCAGTCTTGGCCACGTGCAACAGTGCTCGTATGGGGATTACATCTCAACAACAGAGTCCGTCCTGGGCTCTTGAGAGCTGGTAGCCCAGCAAAGGCTGGATTCAAGCAGCTTACAGAGCGTGGTTAGTGGGTGATTTCGGTTAGATATCGATACTGAGCCGGACTAAGCCCGGGATGCTTCGACTCGCGGTGTGTGGGGCAGGGTTCTGGGTGATCACGAAGGATACTTCAGACCTGATCTAACGAAGAATTCACCAGCTCATGTTAAGAAGCCTGAAACATCCAAGGCATCACCAAGACTTAAAGTCTCTGGGATCACCCCGGATCCAATGAAGCCTGGTCCCTTTTGCAGCTGCCGCTGTAGGTACTTGCCTTGGCAAGACAATTTCGAATCGCTGAGAACATGCGGCGCACGATTTGGCTGTGACCAACACGACCGGAAACTGGGGCCGAGCTGGGCCATTTCCGGCGAAGCTAAGCCTCCAGCTCCCTGCTTGACTTCGCGAAAGCTGACCGACCTGAATGATTGTTCTTGTCCGTTGTAAGTCTCCGATCTCTGACACTATGCTGACGCCGCACCCTTAGCTGACAATAAGCTAGAACAAGCTGCACCTGCCCCAGCAACTCTGCCGCTTCGGCGGGAAGTGCCGCTGCATCGAATCTGGCACATTCCATAATGCTTCTCTTTTCTTCCAAACTCATGGCGTGTTTCTTCAGGCCAGGTTCTACTGCGACTGGCAAAATCAATCAAGTGCGCTGCGACAGCAGTGTTCAATCAGCCGTCACAACCAGTAGCCACGATCATGCGGAATAGGGCGAATATGGCACCGGTCACGTTAGTACATAAGACGGTGTTCCTCGACCTGACATGCCGAGCATGCCTGCCACGTGCAGCCCCGTTTGGACCGCGGCCTTTGCCACCCTGAAACAGGATGCATGCGGCCATGAGGTCTAATGTGAATCTCAACATAAAGCCTCATGATGGCGTAAGGCTTCCAATGAGAAACCAGTGGGACATCTTGCAGCACCTTGCCATTCGCAGGGGCGGCATCAACCTTGCCACGGCAAAGCTGACAAAGACAACATGCGTCACGATGCTCATCCTCTACGGTCTACAGCATGTTCAGATCGGCAACGTACAGCAATTTGTATGCACCCTCTCCTTCCTACTGCACGCTACACTCTGCACCACTTGATGCTTTAAGACCACACACTCCAGACAGCAAGAGTTCGCTTAAGACGCCCCAGAAATTGCACTACAGACACGCGGCAAACAGCTTACACACTACCGCTGTGCATGAGGATCCAGTTCGACATCTCTGGTGGTCCGGCCTCACCCCGCCCTCGGCCTTTGCGGGGTTCTGCTGTTGTTGGAGCATGCTCCTGGAAGCAGATCAACCGTTCGTACCCCGGTGGGAGGACTGGACGAGTGGAACATCAAACGAGGGCGGCAGATGGAATCCTCCGGCAGCTTGTCGTTGGCCACAGGGCTCCTCTGACAAGCTCAGCGGACTCATAAATGAAGAGTGTCACGCCTTTAATGATACTTTAATGCCTGGGACGGGACCGGCACCTGTCCACCCCTCACAAATCGGACGCCCATTCCAATGGATGCTCAGCGTCGCCTGCTCTCGATAAGTGTATGCCCACTGTCAACTACAGCGGGTAAAGTCGAGGCAGGCTGCCGTCTCAATCTCAACCCGCTGGTATCTTCCCGTCCTTTGAACCGAAGGACCAGAAGGATAAACCGGCCTCAGTTGCGGTCCATGAGAATCGAAACTGGGACCCGCCATGCCAACAAAAACAAGCTGCCCTTGAAACGTCCCGGTCAGGTCTCAATCCTTGCTCGACACCCTCCGATCAGTGCCATATCCCTAACTTGCGCTTCTCTGTCATGAAAGCGCATGCTATGCTGATTTTTGACTTGCAACCCCTCTCGACTGAGCTTCCCTGCCCTGGAGCCAGTGCTGCACCTGTGATGCGATACCCTCACCCTCAAGAACACTTCCAAGCTTCTTGGAAAGAGCCTCCACCACCATCCTTGGTAAACACCGGTGGAACGCCGACCTCTCGAAGACAGCGAGGCAAACGCAGAAACTGTGTGCAGGGGCAAGCATCTTTCTTGGGAGGAGCCCTATGCAACTCTAATGCAGCACGAAACAGAGCAAACTCAAGTATGTGACCAAACCCGAAAGGAGCTAGCTGTGAGGAGTGTCTTGCAGGTTGGCAGCCTTTGGCAAGCAGCTACCAAACTCAATTTCAATCAAAATCTGGCATGTTGGAAGTTGGAACCTAATCTGTTGGCATGAGGCTCTCGTCGGAGCGTGCCTTGGCCTGTGCGCTCTGGTGCAAGTGCGCTTGAATGTCCTGCAGCATCGCAGAACTTCGGGGTCGGGTGAACACAGAAGAATATTGCTCTCTTCGACTGATCAAGTCCTGGACTAAGCGACTTTAAGAAAGACGAAGAATGCACTCGCAAAGCTTCTCATGAATGTCTCGTCTCATACTCTTAGAGCACAACAGCGGTCCATACAGCCGCCCGGACCTTGGCGAGTGAGGCGGAGACAGCGGAGAAGTTCACCGTGGTCAATTTGCAGAACAGTCTTCGATGCAGCACACACCAAGAGCCATACATGCTGGGACTCGCCAGCCAGCGCTTTGCAAGCCTGCCGGGCAACGACCAAGTTTGATCCAGCACGGAGCTCAGCTTGAAGCTGATGGCCCATGGCTCCAGCTGTGGCCTCCCAGGGCAGCTGCTGCTGCCACCGCTCCCCACTGATAAGCCTGATCATGGTTTCAGCTTCGTATCCAGCTGACTGAAAGTTGATTTACGGCGACTTTCTCGAGAAAGTGAATGCCTGAGGAAGGACGCTACATGGTCACTGGCAGGTCACCGTCCCAGGAAGGCAACCACTGGTTCAGCACCATGTTGACGAAGCTTTGCTCGGCGATGGTACGAACGAAAAACGTTGACTTCGGACCTGGTATCCGGCGGCAGCGGCAGCCATCTGATGTACGATCTGCTGATCCTGCACGACCGTGAGACCAGGTACAGGTACAGAACAGGGCATGTGACGACCAGGTTTCCAAGTGCAACTGTGAGAGAGAGAGCGAGCGAGGGGAGCTGACAGGGTGCTGCCTACAAGTACTGCCTCGATGCCTGCCTGGCTGCCTGGCTCAATCCCATTGATTTACTCACCACCTCACTCGGTCACGGACGTTCACCAACCCTTGTCGAGTCGCCTGAGTCCTCAGCTGCCAGAAGGTCGGAAGCCTGAGCAGCATCTGCAACATGAAGAAGAAGAAGAAGTGAGCATGCACAGAACGCGCGCTGCAACCACACCCGAATAGGGACACGGGAAACTTGCACACCGAGGCACTCTGCCGGTGCCATTGGCCTGGGAAAAGCATGGTGAGAAGACCGCGCTGCTTTTAGTCATTCAACTTAGCTTAGCAATTCCTTCTCTTGGGTGCTCCATTTGTTCGTGAGTGCTAAGACCTCTTGTCACATGCTCCTCCCAACAGCAGAGTGCCAGCTGCATGTTTCTCAGGCTGCTGCTTTGCCTCGACAGCGTGCCTTGGCGAGACTTCGCTCTCGTAACATGACCACCACCCAAGATTGCAACTATGTTACATAGGGGCTGGCATACTGCCACTTTAAGAAGAACAATGACAATGAATACTAGTAATGAGCTGCATCTTTTGCTTTGTAGATTTTATGCAACCTTCTGCGAAACTCAAGCTGATTGGCCCGCTCGAGGTACGAGGTCGTGCAGCCTTCACATTATCTTCTTCCGGGCAGCACTGCCAAGCTTTCGTTCGCACTGTCTGAGCTCTGTGCGACCGGTCACCATCAGCAGCCTGCATCGGCTGGCGGCGACGAAGTGCCACACAATTTGTGAAAGCCGGCAGAGGAAATCAAGCCCGCCTCGGCCCCAGGGCGGAAGGCACCACCGAATCCCATGCCCTGGCGATGAACCGAATCATGCGCAACGGCCGCGACTGCACCACACCGCTACAGCAGGATGTGAGAATCCCTCCAGATGAAGCTGAGCGCTCCCCTGAGAAGCACTTGAAGCAAAAGCGTGCATCGCAATCGCTTAAACCGTTCACATGGCAGGCAGGCGATGTCACTGGCTGGCCCTGTACCTTGTCAAGCAAGATCTTAGGCCTTAGGCTCCCTTCGATACGTCGAACAGATTACTTCTGGCCAGGCTCCGCCTCCCGGTGTCGGCAAGGGCGGTGGCAGCACCGGCCTCGTTGGGTCACGACACTTCAAAGCCTTCGGAGGCTTGGAGTAAACATGTCTGGAAGGCCCCAGTGCGCCGTCGAGGTCAACCCCCGGCCTGGACATGTAAGCACAAACGCAGAACTCATTAGGATAGATAGATTGTGTGCACAGGGCCAAGATTCCCACATCACCAAACCACCATCTGCAGGGAATCGCGGCCTCTGCACAAAAGTTGCAAGTTGCTGCAACTGCTGGTGTCCGCCGCAAGCCGCATGCAAAAGACACCCTTTCAGCCCAGCACATTCCCAAAAAGTGTTGGTTGTTCAGAGCTGACCTGACATGCATGTCATGGCAGAGTGTCATTGCCGGGACAAGCTAGCCAAGTGCCACGCATAGCACAAGGTGAGGGTGTTGAAATCGGGGCACCTTGACAGTTGTGCGCGCGGCTTCCGGGATTCCGACGTTCCGATGTCTTTAGCTTTCCCAAGACGTGCTGACAACCATGCATCGGTCCGGAGTGCAACACACTAGCACGTAACACCACGTTTCCTCGAGCGAGAAGCGAGGAGAAAGCTCGCATTGGGAAGAGGCGGGCGGGAGTAGAATCTCTTCAAGACAATCTGGCACCTGCATGCTCAGATACGGTGGACGCGGGGTGAAGCTAGTTGTCGCACCTTCAAAAGTTGCAAAAGCGGTGCAAGATTTCCTCCACCCGCTGCATCACCCCTCAACTGATTCGGTAAGGGAATGCTGGATCAGCGTTAAACAACTCGCGCCGATTGGAAATGTTGCAATGTTTGGTATCCTCTGCCAAAGCGTTTTGACAAAGACAACTGTGCGTCACTTCGTGATTTCGTTCGGGTGTACAACTTTCTCGCATAATGCAGATGCGAAAGGATGGCATAAAGCTCTTTGGGATATGCTGCGCAAAGCATCACAAGGTGACAGGATCGAAGGCTTGAAGGACATCGATGCAAGGATCATGTGCGCCCAGGTCCAGGACAAGACGACCTTCAACAGGATTACCATGCATGCTGCATGGCTCTCTTATGGACAGCCGTGCGCGCTCTCTGTGTAGCCGAGGCTTGGCACGACTCGTTGCTTTACATGCCAAAGCACACAAACCAAGCAAAAGCCAAGCCTTGGTAGAACCGATAAGAGCAACCCACCGGATAAGCCCTGCAACGAACGACCGAGCTCTCAGTCCACGTGAAAAGTTCCCGAAGACCGTGGGAGACCTGTGACCGAGAGGTCGTCACAAGTTCGGACAATGCTGAGTAGCAAAAACAGGCAGTGGCAAAGCATGGCAAATAGATCCAACACGACAAGATGGGCCCGGAGCGGCGGACACAGCCGGAGAAGAACCAGAATCTCGCAACTCCGACATCTCCAAAGGCGAGTGGAGGTGGCAAACCCAAGGCTGAGGGCTGCAACCCGAAACCCGAATTACACTGATTGAACGAAACCGAAACCAGGAGTCTGGAGTGGCGCATCCTAGGACCTCAACAGATCGAGAGGGCAACACTGAACGATAAGACAGCATGCGGAGGTCTACAGAGGGGAAGTGTCCAACCGTGCTCGGAGGTGGCAGGCCCAAGTCTTCGAAGGTCCTTGACTCTCACCGTCGTCGTCGTTGTCGTCGTGGTCTTGGCAGTGTCGTCATTGACCACCGTGAGTGTCAGCATCGTCATCATCACCATCTCCGTCATCCTCATTTGGGCCGAAACAGTTTCAGCAGGCTCCGGTGCAGATTTTGCTTCAGAAGCATACGGGGGATCTTTCTTTGTTTTAGTAAGTTGTGCGACAGTGCCGGGAAAGAGATCAAACGTCTCATGGTTGCACTCTGTAAATTCAACGTGGCAACGGCCTGCCGCCAACCTGGTAAATAGGGAGAACACACACAAGCGACTACAGGCGACCACGACAGGGTATTAGCAGAACCGGAAGGTGTATTTTTATGCAACCGCCAGGGCTCCGAACCGATCAGATTAACAGGTCTCGATAGGCATTCTCAATTCTCGAGGCACTTCATTTGTTGCTGCAGCCGGGCTCCCAACCAGCACCTCCACCAAAGCTACCGTAGTGATAGTGGGTCGGCCTGGAATCTTGTGTCACGTCATGTCGCGAAAAGGGCATGGCATCTGAGCTCATCTTGTCGAAGGCAAATCTGCAAATCTAGTTTTGAACATAGAGCCCTCTTGGCAGACGGCTCTGGCGTGTTCTGAACACTTCGATGTGCCGTGGCTGGATTTGGCGAGTCCAAGAATTCCTGCCAAAACATCGCAACGTAACGTGGGAGAAACACTCAAACGATAACAGAAACGTTTGTAGCTGTGCACACTCAGCCCTCCTTCTCACCGGTCAACCTTGCAGTTGCAAGTTCACGCTCTGGAGAAGGAGTTGAATCCTCCGGACAGACACGCAAATTGGCGAAACCGAGGGATGACTCCAGACTGGCCTCCATGGGAGCCGGTGTGACCACCGTGCCTTTGCTGTCGCAACATGACCCATCATGACCCCACGACCGGCGTGCTGTGCTCTACCATACCGAGTGGCCGAGGTCTGTTCCCACCGGCGTTGGGGCCTGGGTCCCGTCACACAGATTCAGACAGACCATGCTTCTTGGATCCCCTCGCTTCTGAAGAGCGTCGTCTCTCAGAGCAGCACCTGTGGATCATCCCAACCTGGAAGAAGTTAGGACTGCAAGCATTTGGTGGAAGATCAGCAAAGTCACACCTTCGGCCAAGCCACTCAGTGACTTCGGTCGCGTTGCCTGCGACACCTTCGAGGCCTGGCGGTATCTGACACATTCCGCCAATCATTGCGGCGGCAATTAAAACCTCAAAAGAGAGACGGCGTCCAGATTCAGACAGAACTTCAATCCTCATGTTCCCTCACCTCATCTACTCCGCTAGTGTCTGCATGTGAATAACAGAGCAGGCAACGCCCCCGGACCTGAAAAGCTGTCTCTCAGGGGCACGTTCAGGCTCTTGCACTCGCACGACTGCGGAAGTACGCCAGAACAGTACGAGTTTAGCCTTGCATGCTGCAACGCTGGACCCGTTCGAGCGTTCCTGCTCGAAGGTGGATAATTTAAAGAATTCGAAAGTGGCCGAAAACTGCTTTGCCATCTTTCCGGAGCAAAGCAGGCCACAAGGACTCATGGAAGAGGTGGCGTTGACCTTCCAGCCATGATCATCCGAGTGCCGCCCACACCTTTGGGTGTCGGACGGGACAAATCCTGCGATGTGTGGAACATGCCGTCAGCAATGCAGTGTGCGAGTGGAAACCTTTTCCTGTGTCCTTTTACAATCCCACTTTGCCATTGCTGTGGCAAACCTGTACTGCTTCATTGGCTAATACGAGACAGCACTTGTTGCAAGAGGTCTCGCAACGCTGGGAACGATTGGTACGGAATGTCTTCAAGCATCGAGCAAACCCTGACACCTTAGAGGCGACAAAGCACAAATTGCGAGCACATTGCCCTGCAAATGGAGCATGTGAGCTTCAGCTTTCTTGTCTTGCATGGCCAAGCCAAGCCACTAATCGGCGGAACCTGCCAGTCGACGGGAGGACGAGCTCCTTGCGGTCATTCATTCACGCGCCAGCGGAGCTCTATGCCATCATTGAAATCCGGTTCTCATGAATCGAACCATGTGCTCCTGATTCGAGAATCGTACACAAAGCTCAACTCACCGATTCCCAAGAAGCTTCCTGAACCAAAAGACCCGACGACCAATCCGTCCAGTGGCAGCTCCTCAGCCACCAAGCTCGGCTTGGACTTGGCTGCTGTCCTCGGCGGAACGAATCCAGATTTGGACAGAGTACCCTCTGACCGATGAGCGCAGCCACAGGGACGCCACCGAAACTCTCGTGGCCCCATGTCACCTGAAAATTCTCGGAAGAAAGCAGAGTCTCTGCCGGTGTTACATGACGCGGTGACATCAGAGCATGCGAGAAATCTCCATGGGAGAAGCATGATGGTCTGCTTCCAGGAGACTAGCTGTCCCGCCGCTGTCAGAGCAGCAAAAGCGCCCGTGGAGCCAACAATCTGCAACGGTCAAAACTTTAGAACGCTTGCTGGCGGAAGAACGCTTCGGCCTAACTCACGTTCCACCAAGTTTTCCCACCTACAGCAGTATCGCCATGCTATCCCACGCTTCAAGGCCTGCTTGACCATCAAGAGGCGTTCTTGCACATCGCGACTGTCGCCCCCTGCATCGCTTTGCCCCCAGCTGACGACGCTTCCGTCCTCCTGTGGCAAATGCAGCACTGCAGTTGCTTTCATCCGGTGGGTATGCAGAACTGGGCACGGAAGGTTACCTCAGCATGAGTTATCACGTATCACTGACATTGTACGTACAAACCTTCCAGCTCGCCATGGAAGACAGAGGCAGGCAGCATTTTGGTAGCAATCCCTTCGCCGGGCAAGGCTTCCAAGGAATCAAGCTACAATTCAAGAGCTTCATTTTGGCGCAGCTGCCGTGAGAGAAACTGCAAAAACCAACCAGGCTCATCCGACTCTGGGACCTGTAAAAAGGTACTACTCCCATACGGCCCATGAAACTCCATGTGCCGATCAGGGTCAATCCCAGCCCTATAGCAGAACGGTGGCAGTTGTGATCAAGCTCGTCGGGAATGAGCTCAGAACCAGATACCGACCGATCTTAGATAGCAGCACCAACACCGAGATGATATCGAAGGAGGGCTGCAGTGCGTGCCAGACCATCCAAACAAGCCCAACGCAAGATCTTGCACGGAAGTGTTGACAGAAGCACAGGGTTTTCTCACCTCAAGAATTTGCATCCCGGACTCCCCTCGTCGTCACCATGAGCGCAAGGGTTGTTTGTCTTAGAAGGGTAGAGACATCGATTTTCAGGCAGTTGCGTGCGTGTGGAGGGGGTGTCCAAGCTGAAAACCTTACTTCATTTGTCAATCCAGCATGTCGCGTACTGGAAAGTGCCCCTCCTGTCCTACAGCATACTTGCCGGCAACACACCCGGCGACGTAGTGTTCGTTCCACTGCTGTCACGCCCAGCCCAAGAGGAATGACATCGAAAACAACTGGAGCAAAGGCCAAAAACTCGACAACAAAGCGATGATCACATGGAGGCAAGCCTTGATGGCAGCAAAGGCGTTTTCGGTCGCCGCGACCTGGCGGGACCGGGCGGCTACTCGGCGCTGCTGGCGAAAAATCCATGCCACAAAGGAGTCAAAGTTCGTGCTGCACCTCCTCCACGTTCACGAGCTGCTCGCGCACTGCGGTACTGTCACCGCCGCGTTCCTGAGAATGCTATCGGATGCTATCAGGTTCCACAGCAAGACTCCTCTGGCACCGCAGTGCTGCTTTCCTTGCCAGTCTTGCTTTCGCTTGCTGAGAAGGCAGGGGGCACTTACCCGGATGCCATACGAGCGCTCCCAGTATCCCTGTCCCTCTTTCTTTCGGCAGTGTAGAGAATGCCCTCTCCCGCTCCCTTTCTTTCGCACAGATTCACAGGTTTTTCACGCCACACTTGTGTTTGCTATTTGGCTATACGCGGGTGTTAATGCCTTGGCTGGTGTGCGCATTGACGCTTTGCTTTGCTCGTTGGGGCGGGGGGCAGGGGGCAGGCCCCCGTCCGGCGCAGTTCGCGCTACCTCATCCCATATGTTGTGGAATGGGCTCGGGCCTTACAAAGCTGGTGCCCTCCTTTTCAAGGCCTTCGTGGCCTTTCCCCTCTCTCTGTCTCTCTCTCTTTGCTTTGCTCGCGGTATGGAGCAGTCACGAACCTGCCCCTCTTGCTTGCATGCGGACAAAAGAAATGCATGCGCACTCCCTCGCCCGGGCGCGCACCGAAGTCGTTGCTCTTCTTTGCTCACTGCTCAATGAGGCACGGTCAGTTCTGTAAAACCCCTCTGAAACCCTTAAAGCTATTGCACCCCCCGTGCCTCATCAGCTTCCCCCAATTTGGGGTGGCGCTGTTCGGTATTACCGGTGCTCTCTAGTGTGCTCTTGTCGACTGCATGTTCAACATGTCAACACAAACACACAAACTGACTTCCCCTCTCTCTTTTTCTCTCTGCCGGGCCTAGGGGACGGTTGGCCCGACCCTCAGGCATTCAGCCCGCCCGTCCCCCACCATGTATTAGTGAGCGGACGGCATTTGGGTCCCAATCTACAGTCAACGGCGGCCAGGGATGTTCCATGTCTCACAACCGAGAGCCCCGACCCTTTACGCTAAGGACCCTCATCACCGCGCCCCATGCAGCTGTTCAATTCTGCTGAAATGCAAAAGAGAGAAGACGGCGGTTGATTATCCCCCTTGTTGATGAGCTCCAAAGGGGAGCGAGGCAAAGAATTAAGAATGAGGTAGGCGGATCAGACATCATCGTTTAGCGACGGAGTGACTAAGAATCGCAGGCAAATGGAAAGAACCTCGTCAGGTTGTGACGGCATTTGCAATGAGGCATTTCCCCCAAAGGGAGGCTATGGTACAGTGTGCAGGTACAATCCCCCGGCGCCTGAGGATTCGAAACTTGGGGCTGTGAGGTGTCCTTTGTAACCACAACAACGAACACAGGTAAGGGAAACCCAAGAACACAGCGCTCACACTTCACATTACACTTCACTGTCCGGCCAAAAACTTTTTGCACGCACTCCCCTCAGTGGTTCTCCCACGTGGTGTTGACTTTGGCCGCTTGGCCGTCGGGAGTCTCGGGCCTCGTTTCCCCGTCTGCCCCTGTCTTCCCCCTATATGGGGATTTTGTGAGGAGACCGTCATCCAAGGAAGCGTAGATCACGAGGTTCGCGCCCGTGCCAATATCACGACCTTTAGCCCAGCCGTTGGGTAGGAGAGGAACGGTGTGGCCTGTAAGGCAAGGGCCTGGCTGGAGTAAAACTCTGTTAGCTCCCCCGTCACAAGGTCGGAGAGGAAGCTCTTGCGGTCAGCGCCCCCCGTACAAAGGATTCATGTCACGCTCTTGCCGATGTTCTGTATGGCTCAAGGCACCCTTCCCTTCGGAAGCTAGTTACAGGCGAGAGGCGGGGGCTCCGGCCCGTTCAAAGGCACAATAAGAAGGGGCCTTCCCCCCCAACCTCCCTTTTGAGCTGTCGAGGACTGCGGCGTCTTCGAAGTCGGTGTAGACACCTTGAGCCAAAATCTGTCTCGCTCTCCCCCACACGAGGCTGCAGGGACCGCTCCTCCCGCTCTCTTTGAGTCCGGCTGACAGGTTGCATCTTTCTGAGGCCCAAACCTCGTGCACACCCACCCTGTTGTGGATATGCACTGCCGACGGAAGACTGTTAGGCAATCAAATATCGACTCGAACAAGCCGACAGGACTCCCTTCACGGAAGGTATACAGATACATCCACTAGTTATTTAGTTGCACAGATGTTGTGCAAAATCAAACATAGCCAAGCAGAAGCTGGTGCTGAGCATCAGTTGACAAAAGATAGCCCGACGAACCCACCAGGCACCAACGCCAGGACAAAAGTCTCTGTAAGTCTCTCCTTTTGCTTGTTTGCTCATGGCACAGGCAGTCCAGGCAGTCACTAGCATCCTCTCGGGTGAACTGCCACATCCATCAAGGATCCAAAATTGTCTGGAGAAGTCTTTTTTGATGTTTGTTGAATGTGTGTTGTTTTTTTTGTTGCCTTCGGGGGGCAGCAGAGGTTGGAGCAGGGCCGAGGAGGCGTGGGGAGGGAAGGGCGGAGGGGAGGAGGGAAGGGTTTGGCGACATTAAACACGCTCACTCATGTGGCGATTCCAGTTCATTCCGTGTCTTTTTGGTTGTTCGGAAGCATCATATATCTAAAACGCGCCCCCTCATGTGGCGATCCCGGCGCATCATATCTCTTAAACACGCCGCCTCATGTAGCGATTCCGGATCCCGCCTGCTCATGTCGCGATTCCGGGTCATCACATGCCTTCAACATTCCCCTTCCTTAATTGGCAATCCTGGTTCACCATGTATCTTAAACACGCCCCCTCGTTTGGCGGTTCCGGTTCGTCATAAATCTCAAACACGCCCCCTGAATTGGCGATTTCGGTTCATCGCATATCTTCAATACGCCTCCTCATTTCGCGATGTCGGTTTGTCATATACCTTAAACTTAAACACGAGCCCTCATTTGGCAATTCGGCTCATCATATATCTTAAACACGCCCCCTCATTTGGCGATCCCGGCTCGTCATATATCTTACATACGACGCCTCATTTGGCGCTGTCGGTTCTTCCTGTATCTCTTAAACTTGAACGTGCCGCATCATTTGGCGATTGCAGTTCAGCACATATCTTAAACTGGTGATTCAATAAGAGCAAAGCGTAAAAGCAGAGAAGCAGACAAGCAAAGAAGTAGAAACGCGGAAGAGCATAGAAGCAGAAGCAGAAGCCAGAACAAGCAGAAAACGAGAAGCAAACACGCAGCAGACAGAACAACCGGATAAACGGAAAAGCGAAGCAGAGAAGCGGACACGTAGACTTAATGACGCCCTAGCTGAAGGCTTCGGGGAACCAGACTGACGCCTCGAAGACTCAGCAAGGACCAGGCACCCTCAGTGACATACTATCGCTTGCAATGGGGAAGTTCAGGGTCGAGTGGCAGGTCTGCCGACTTCTTCTGCACAAGGCAGGGTCAGGCAGCTGGGGTTCGGCAGCGCAAGTGGCCAGGAGATCGGGGGCCCAAACCATGTTCTGCTTGCTTCTGCTGCAGCAGCGCCCGACTCCTTCTTTCCGTACCTCTTTCTTTCTTTCGCCAGGGCTGTGGTGTAGGGGTTACCCCCTTTCCGTACCTCTCTCTTTCTCTCTCTGTCTCTCCCCCGCTCTCTCTCTCGCTGTCTCTCGTGACCACCGATCAGTTCCAAGCTTCTGGATCTCCCCAGCAGATAACTTCGCCTGCACTGCGAGATTTGTCGTTGTTCGTTATGGGACTGCTTTTGCGGTATGCACCCATGGCCAAGGCCTTCTTTCGTGATTGCTGCGAATGCGCTGCCGGAAGGGATGATTGCCTGAAGGGGGCGCCATGCTGCTGTGACAAGCACGCCAAACTGTGAAAGCGATAATACACAGCCATCATAGGGCATAACTTGCCGGTCTCAAGAAAGCAGAAACCCACGTCGAAGTACGCACAAATCCTCTGTTACTGCATTGTAGTCTAGTGCGGGGTAAGCCGGTCTGCTCAGACCGTCGAGCGGGCTTGCACTGTTACATCCGTCACCGAGCGACGCAGTTGCAGCTGGCCCCCTGCAGCCGATAGGTACTGAAGCTTGTGACGAATCGCGCCGACAAGCGGTTCGGCAGTCTGACAATCACGAGACGCATTCGTGCACACAGCGACGCCCATCGACCCCCCAACAACCTCCCGGCCCCACGAAAGGTCAGCTGTTGTTGATTGGGAAGCTTTTCGATGGTCATAGTTCGCAATCTTACGAATGCCACACTCCAAGCTAAGGTCGGGCATTCCCTGTCCGGGCATTGCTGATGCGCCCGCGTCTTGTATCAAACCCATTTGTCGCACCATTACTACGGGCAAATCCCGAGCGTTGCCCGTCAGAGCTTCGATCTCCGACATCAGTTCATTCGGAAGTACAATTCGGCTGCATCACAAGGTCATGTCAGCTCCACGTAAGAACAGTGGCAGTTGCGTCCAGGATGCTTTGGCATGCTGGATCCGACTGGTAAGATCCTCAGACGTTCGGCTGTGGGGGCTATGTGCTGTCATGATCGCCGATGCTGCGCTGGCAGAGCTGTTAGAGCACTTGCAATGCGAGACGCTGTCCCCAAGTTGCAGTCGCGTGTCCGTTGCAGATCCACCAAGCTCTGGCAGACCCCAGCAAACGACGCTACCGTCGGACTTGACGGCCGCAAAGGCACCGGCAGTCGCCTCGTCAAGTCAAAAAGACCGAAACGAAACTGCTTGAAGCTTGGCGACTTAGACTCTTTCGCCGCAGAATTGGCTCCACGGCACAAACATGCCAAGGGAAACTTCGTACCCTATCAAATCATGCTCTGTACGGAGTGGCGACGGCCCGTTATATCTTCTGAGAAGCCTACTGCTCAAACAAATCAAGTCAAAGGATGTACAAAGTTCTTGTTGATTCTGAAGCCGTGGGTTCTGGCATCCCTCTTTAGATACACCAGCTACGCAAAATTAAACCTGATCCCCCGTCGGCTGAAATCTCACGACGTGTTGTCGTCACATCTCAAGGTGGAACGCGGGAACCTGGAGGCTCCGAACGCCAACCAACTCTGCTGAGACTTTGCTGGCATCGCCACCTCAATCGGACAATATCCAACAAAACTGCAAACAAAACTGTGACGGGTGGGCTCTGTAACAGGGAACATGGGTCCAAACCCTGTATGCTCGCTCGCCATCGTTGACTCTCGAGTTAAAACTGCTGAATCGAAGTGCTCGCACACATGCCTCTACACACAATCAACATCCGACTGTTCGAGCCAAGGAACCGAACAGTGGATCCCCCCAGACCACAACGTCACCACTGCCTGTCAGCGTCCAATGTGTCTTGCAACAAATCTGCAAAGCATGCTGGACATGTTGAAATCAAATGCTGGAAGCGGGAACTAGAGGCACAGGTGGGAAACAAAGCAATCACTTTGTTGGATGTTGTTGGACTCCTTCGGCATCCACGGTGTTTGGCAGTGCTTCCGTCCCGGACATGCTGGGTCACGGTTGAAATCGACGGCACCCTTGGCACGGCCTGGAACATGAGAAAAACGTCTCCTCAACACAATTGACACTTGAAGCCATCGAGGCTCTCAGCCACAGAATCGCTCAAACAAGTCTTGATCCGGACCCCTTCTGGAACTTCCTAGGCGAAGGACCAAGGTACATACCACTTTTCTGAAGCAAACCGGTCTCTAACTACGAAGTAAGTCGCGAACCAGTGCAAGCAACTGAATCAAAGACGCTTGCACTTTTCATGACCCTCACGTGCGCCTGTAATGGCTGCGAAAGCTGCTGAGGTGGCACAAATGCTCTGCACCTCGGGGCTTGTAGACCCAGCTATCGAAAGCACAGCTCGCAGTAGGTTCGCTTAAGGCTGCAAAACCTGAGCGGCTGGCATCTTGAAGCTGCGCTGAGACATTTCGGCTGTCGCCCCCGTGACCTGCGAGTGTATCTCAAAAAGATGACACTACGGGCGACCGTTGGGCACAGAGCGCAAGCAATACTGGCTGGATCAAGAAGCATGAAGAGTGAAGGAAAGGAAATGCCCCGAGACAAAGCCTTCCAGGCGACCCCGGCAACTTTCCAGCCGGAGCACAGGCCGAGCCCCAGGTGATCACGGAGCCGTGGGCCGTGAGGGCAGCAAAAGCAGCGCCAGAGCCACCTTGGAGCTGCTGAGGGTCCGAGGTTTGAGGCTATATAACACGACAACCCGTCGAAATGCAGGCCGAAGCACAGATGTGGATGACATTATTCAGATCCTCTTGCACCTGAAGGCAAGAAGGCGCCCTGTTCTGAATCAGCTGTGCAAAAACACTCAAACACGAGCAAGCACCTTATGTGTGTGATGTGAACGATCGCAGCCGGTTTGATGGAGTAGCGGATCAAAAAACACCCCGCCGCACAGGCGAAAACTTCGACGACACTTTCGAAGACGATCGATCTTAAGCAGAGAATCCATCCTCGCTGCGACCAGATATTGTGAAAATCGAAGGACTATTCAAGAGACCGCCCCTTTGGGTTCGCGAAAAAGGCTCTGAAGCTTCTGAAGACTCTGAAGACTCGAGGAACAGATCCTCAAGGAGCTTCAAAGCTTCGGAGATTCTGGAAGAAAATTCCTAGAGACTCCAATATTACCTTAAATCATACTAGGGATCCTACCATAATTTAAGGAAAATTCCTTAATTAAGGGATATTGGAGTCTCTTCCTCAACCACCCCTGGCGTGCAATCGAACTATTGCCATCGCCTGAGTTTGCCTAGCGGCGTTGCCGATCCTTCTTCAGAACATAATCCCTGGCCCGCGACGGCAAAATATGGCAAAATGCAACAACACCTCGCTAAACAGCAGCCGGGCCGATCCTATCTTCCAGAAAGCACGGTAAAACCGAAAAACATCCCACCCCTGGGTGAACACAACATCTAATCTGCCTGACTGCTCCGATCAACCTCAACCATGCAGCATATTGCAGCATCCTGTCGGGCATTATCGCACGAAGATATTTGAGTCTTCCTCAAAGGGCTTTGGCTTCCACAGGCTTATCTCGGAGGGAAAACACATTGATCGCGGACTGACCCTGACTTCGTTTGTCTTTCGGCACCTCAGTGCAGTCGCCACCCCAGTCCTCCAAGGGCTACACGGGCCAAAGCACTGCATGCTTACTGCACCTTCTGGTTCGCCTTGCCTGTGTATTGGTCGTTAGCTGTAGCTCGGAGACAATACGCTCGGCTTAGTATTGAAACTGTGGTGGCACAAAGATTCAACAGCGGCCCCGGCCAGCTCTGACTAGATGAAAACGTTTGAGGGGCTGTAGCTCTGTGTCGTCTGATTGAACGATGGATCGGGGGAAAAGGAGCTCTGAAAGTCTGCTGGCGCGGTGCACCGGCGATGTTCTGGGACTCAAGGCTGGTGTGTGAGCAGTTGCCACATGCAGCACAGGCTAGGTAAGCAACTGCAATGCTGCACCAGCCGGGTCCTCGTCGCCCCAAGCGATGACGGCACCATCGACACCTGGTGATAAGATCATGAGCAGTACCTGCTGAAGAAAGCTCGACTTGACTCCCGAAACACGAACGTTGCATAGCTCCAGAAACCGTATGGACCTCACCTTCTAGAACCGGATTCAATGTCTCGCATATGCAGGAAGGAAACGGATAGCAGCGAATGCTCCAGCTGTGCTGAAGACCTTCTGAACGTTCTGTAACTCCTCTTCGTTTCGCACAGCTGCTGCATACAACAACTGCCAGGCACAAAACACGGACTCTATGCGGGTTCCGGCTGGATTTACGTGTGCACGTGGCGACGCAATGACTGTGCTGCCCGGACGCAGCCTGTGAAAAGTCAACACCAGACCAATTTTTCTACGCATGTCAAGTGTCAGGTTCAGTATGATGACTTGGGCACACAGTCCTCCTGGACTGCATCGCTGTCACCACCCAGATCTTCGCAGCCCCAACTGACCTCATACGGTGTGTAAAGTCTGTCTTTGTCTGATCTCCCCTCGGACTCGCATGTCCGAGGCATAAGAACCAGCCGAGCTTCCACGGTGCCATCACGCCGAAGTGCTGCACAAGCTCGTGCTGTCATCTTCACCTCGGTTCTCTAGAGAATACACCTGATCTGCCCCCGTAGAGCCGCTTCAGGCTATGGCTATCAGTCAGGTAGCATCCCAAACGTTCACAAGTTCATCTTGGACATCACTGCTGTCTCCACCACTGTCTTCATCGCCCCATGCAATGACTGAGCCGTCCTTCTGGATGGCGCAGATAGCATGCGACAGTCGGTTTGCGTGTAGCTGAAGCTTGGGCTTTGCCATAAATGCTCCCACAACATCGCCATCCTGAATACCAGCGTCTTGCAGAGTGCTCGTCCCTCGCAGAAACTCCGCACCACCTGGCTGAACCAGAATCCCTAGGGAAGTCTGGAGCTGGGATTCTGCAGCTTTGCGGAGATCTTCGACGGAGCTTCCCGGCTCCATTTCCACGAAGACACTCTGCCCGCTGAGGATTGCTACGGAGACGTGTAGACACATGCAAGGTGCGGGCCCCCCGGGACCGCAGGGGTGCGGCGAAACCGGCACCTGGCACGTCGGGTAATAAGAGAATTCGCTATCGAGGCGTGAATCGTAAATGGCTGCAGGGAGCGCACATCGAAATGCCAGTCAAAGGGCAGAAGCAACCCAGCAGGCACTGATCTCCGAATGCTCTGCACGTGCACGCAACAGGGACCAGTCGTCAACGAAACCCTATTAAAGCAACCGGCAACCGGATTACCGAATTCACGAGAGATGTGACCCTTTTCTTGAATCCTGCCTCTTTCAAAACAATCGACTCATCATGACTTTTCTGCACATGGCCCATGCCTGGCTCTGCCTCTTCTCACAGAGCTTACGGCAGGGGTGAATGAAAGATTCCTGATGGATTCGGGCTTCTGCCATGCGTTTGTGCCGGTCTTGCCGATCCATATCTGTAGCCTCCGCTGTTTGCACCACCAACACTAGTTGCCGCGTGGTGCTTGATTGCTTCTCATACCTGCAGGAAATCTGGCTTTCCAAAGCTCTCTTCAAGCCAGACGGGACCCGGAAAGATCTCCTGATAGCTATCCATGGCACAACGAGGCCACAAGAGGCCAAAAGGGTACTTTTGCCACGGGAACATGGAAACTTGCACGAAAACGCAGGGAAACCAAGTGCCTCTGTGTGCGGCCTCCGGCAATTAGCGACGAAAAGTAGCGCTCATGCAGCACCAGTTGGACAGCCCGTCGCATTCGAACTATGCGCTCAACCAGCCTCTGTTGGACCAGCTCAGAGCGATACGACGCAGCCAGCCATGAGATGTGCAAGGCACTCGAACGAAATCTAAGAAAACAAGACTTCTACCACCGAGCAGGCAGCTTTGCTCACCCCGCAGCACAAAAACACAACTAACCTGGACAAGCTCTTTTCAGGTATGGAGGGCGAGGACACATTGGGCAACTCTGCCTGTCGGGACTCGCGAAAGCAAGAAGCATGCTACGACGCTCTATTGTATCTCAGGAGCACGGTTTCGACCTGGGACTCTTCCAAGACCAGGTGCGCCATAAATACGCAAAGGATGCGAAAGTCTTTGGCATGCCAGCAGCTGATTCCGTGCTGGCACTGGACACGATCAGCAGTGCCAGTGTTCACAGGGCTTGAGAACTGCAGACTTACGTCGAGACCGCGACATTCCACTAAGCATTGTCGATCCGACAGACAACCACGAACATAGGCACTGAATGCGAAGGAACGCTCAACCACACTGGCATAATAGCACATCGAACAAAATTCGCAAATGCCACTGATGATCGGTTGATGTCAGGCATCATCGAGCAAGATGCAATGCTTGGGAGGGGGCAAGCGTCCACCCATCTCGCACTCGCGTCCACTAGGATCCGCTAGGCAAGACTATGAGGGCCCCCACATGCCCCCACCAAAGGCGAACAAACGAGAATTGACTGCATCACCAGATGAAACTGCAGTGAAGCAATGCGGTAGGTCTGCACGCAAAACTCACCGACACGGATGAACAAACCTTCTGGTGCACAAGAAAACAACTACCGTGGCCACGAAGAGAACAAAGGAAAAGAGGACTAAGTGCTGAAGTGATTGAAGATCCGGGAAATGGGCAGCCACGTACTCTTACTCTGACCCGACCCGACCCGACCCGGCACCATGGATATTTGGATTTGATCACGCCTCTATGAGAGCAGTCACAGGACGAGGGTCACAACTTGGACTTTTGCTGAGCAAGTAACGGAAAGATTCTGAAGTCAGCTCCAAATACCAGGTGACCTGCATAGTGGTAGTTCTGCGCCTTTGAAGCTACAAACTGGCACTGGCAGTGACGACGGTGGCAGTGACCACCGCATCTGTGATAGATCTATACAAGCCGGGAGCTAATCGAGATCCAGAGCCAGAAATGGGAGTGAAGGTAAGACTCTAAGGAGGCCGATTAAATGGCACAGCGGTACAACAATGGTCTACCTATTTGCAAGTATGAGTGCCTGCCGAAGCCCTGAACTCGAACCACGTGCTGGATGTGTGCCTGGTCGTTTTCCCTCGCAGAGAAGATGTCACTTGATGCACACGGTTTGAAAGCGATACTACCCCTGTGAAGCATTGACAACCCTCACAACACGATGGAACCTTGGCGCGCAATGCTTAGGGAAACTCGTTGGCCTCTGGGAAGCAACAAGACTGCAAGGAGGCATCCGGAGCTTAGTCTGAACATGTTCTGTGTACACACTGCTGTGTGAAAGTGCGACAACTCATACCAAGTCACACCTCATCGCATATGATGTTGTATTGCATTATACGTTATTGCATTATGCATATTATGCCATATGCTAAGCAATATTCTACGCCGCAGGTTCTGGCCCTGGCTCAGACCCTTACGCAATCTACACCGGCGGAAAGAGTTCGAGACAAAATGCAGCCGAACACAGCCGAATTCAAGCTCATTATCGGATGATCCGTGCGAACTGGGAATCTGATCCTGTAAGCTTCACTAGCAGCTCCCCGGTCACACTCCCAGTCACCTCTTGGCCTTAGCCTGAGCCTGACCTACGAGTTTGTAAACTGCATCCGGATTGGGAACCGGTGCTTGCTTGGAATCAGGCTCTCCGCCACGAGCAGGCCGATCTTTCGATCTCGCTGCTCAGCCGTCTCCTGCGGAAGAGGCTCTCTACTCAAAGTTAGATCTGCCCTAGACAGTGCCGTCGGCTTGCTTGCCTTGGTCGATGGGAGGTGTAGCCACAAGAGGAACAAACCTATGATGCTCGCTTGCCTTGTAGGCCTTTCAAGGACTCCAGGAGCTGATGCTCCAACTCGCCGTTGTCCTTGGAGAACCCCGAACATGGCTGAACGTCAAGATCTGCGTCTTGTGTCAACAGAACATTCATCGAGACCTGCTCTTCTCCGCCTTAGACGAGGATTCAGTTCGCATGCGAGTCGCCACATTTCCACAGTCTTCGTGGCCCCACGTCACCTGGGACCGTTGTTGCAGCTGTCAAACTCTGCAGATGCAAGAAGCGCAGCGATCCAACCGAAATGGATGATAATGGTTGTCGAGACGCCACTGAATCAAAGCCAGTCAAGGCTGCAAAGGCCCCACCGGATGCCACCACCTGCACCCGAGACTACATGAGACAAGAGCGTGGAATGTAGGTGGGGCTGAGCAATGCCACAGGTCTAAGCGGGACAGAGCCGAATGTCATGAGCCGGCCTGCTGCACCATCATCAGCCTCTCCTAGAAAGCAAACGTTGTCTTTACAGTAGCAGTCCCAGAAACACCTCTGTGAAGGGAGCCGCAAGTGCCGGCTGGAGCAAGACAGGCTCTCCTGGACCCGCGAGCTGTCACCGCCATACTCTGGATGACCCCAGGTCACAACTGTACCATCCACCTGCCAACACAACAAAGACGCTGCATCACAAGGGATCCCACTGATCACTGATCGAGACACCACCACCACTCTGCCATTTCTGCACAAGCCCTACAAAAGTTTTTACATCTCAATGCCTTGGTCTAACAAAAGTAAAAGCTTCGGGTGCCCACCTTGAGCGCAGCGAAGGCACTCTCTGTCGCAGCCACCTCGAAAGCTGAAAAGGCAATGTCGAAGAATCTACGCAATCTTCGAAGTCGGCCAGTACGTGGGCCCAATGCCAACAGCAAAATCAGCAAGGGTAACGTGATGCTTGTGCTTACCGAGAACTTGCATCCAACAACTGACCCGTGAATCAGCAGTGAAAGTGTCCGACGGCACAAACCCAAGTACTGGTTGTGAGAAGAGGTGGAAGGACAAGCCCACGAGACGGCCCCTTGTGTGGCAAAGTCTAGCAAAGCCACGTGATGAGGAGGCAAGAGCGACATGAGGGTTCGGCAAAAGCGACATGAGGGTTCTGCTGTGAATCAGGCTGTGGACTATGATCAAACCAGTGACTGCAACATGCCAGGCAGCCTCGACCACATCCACCAGGTTGTCTCGAACGCAACTGCTGTTGCCACCGTACTCCTCAGGGTAAAGCTGTCGCAGCCGCGAGGCACCGTCGGACCCGACAGAAACACCGGAAAGCCGCGCATCAGATAGACACTGAGCCCCTAATTCGAAAGCGGGATCTTGCAAGCTTTCGCTTGTCTTTGTAGAGTGCTGCCTTGCACAGCAACCAAAAGCACAATCTGGTCAGTCTGCTTTGTTTGTTTACAGACCGCGTGGTCTTCCTAGGCCAGAACCGATGGAATAACGATGGCCGTTCCAAGCTGTAAATGAAAATGGTCTTACATGCGAAGGACCAGCAGAATGCACCAGACCGGAGTTGTTTAAAGCGAAATCCCTCGAACTTCAACAACTAGTCTTGCAACAGGGGTTTGTGAAGTCACTGTTGGTGTCATGCAAAAACTGAACGCCATGTGAACCCGCGTATTCCGGTCCCCCATCATCCGAGTCTACATGTTTGCATGCCGGTGGATGCATCGTGCCATGTAAGAGCTGCATGCATTGCGTTGGCGCTGCCATGCATGACGAGAACCGACATTGCTCATACAGACTTGAGCCCGCTCGGCAGCAAACTTTATCGAAATGTGCCCGAACGAGAGACTTGTGCAGAAGTTCCATTCTGCTCGCTTGCACTGTGCCATTGCACAGAGCAAACCGAAACGCGCAGCGAAGCACAGCAAAGCGATTTAGACGTAGTACCCGGTACCCAAGCCCTGCCACCGAGAATCTGGATCGCCCCATGTCGCGACGGTGCCATTCGCTCGGACGGCTGCGAAAGCGCCGCCGTTTGCACGCACACTGCGCACTTGCAGCAGTTTCTCTTGTGCCGCAGCTGCATCCCCTCCCAATTCCTTCATCCCCCAAGCTGTGACATGTCCGTCATCATGGATTGCAGCGAAGGCCCCAGCCGTTGCTTCGATGCGCTGGACGTGACTGAGCGTTTCAGCCAGACTTCCATCTGCCCCCATGTCGGGATCACCCCAAACTATGACAGTTCCGTCTCGACGGACAGCAGCGAAGGCTGATGAAGTCGCCTGGATCTGAACAACATCGGTCAACTTGTTCGCGACGGCACTGCTGTCACCACCATGTCGAGCCTTTGATTCACACTTTCACACGGAATGCTACAAGTTGTGTATATTTCGTAAACTGTACAGCTTCCAACTGCTAAGGCTGCTAAGGCAGAGCTGCCGATCCCCAGGTGACCACCGAGCCGTCGGCAGAAATGGCAGCAAATGCGGCTCCCGACCCGCATATCTGGACAACCTTCGTCAGCCTCTCGCGGACATCCGAGCAGTCGCCGCCCCAGTCCTCATCGCCCCAGGTCACGACAAAGCCATCACCTCCGCAGCACTGCTTTGCTGAAATCTGCACGGAATCTAACTTCTGCAAGCACTGCTACGACCCAAGCCGGATTAGGCACCTGCTGCCTTTTAGGCGCTTAGATGCCCGTAGGTGCATCTGGGCGCTTGGGCGCCCTGCCCTCCCTCCGCAATTGCGTTTCCCGGCCTCTGCAAGCAGCAAATGCACCGGCGGTGCTGCGAATCAGCTTGACATCGAAGAGTTCGTCCTCGACGTCGCTGCTGTCACCTCCAAGATCTTCACAACCCCAGGTGACCACACCTCCGTCTTTTCGAATGGCCGCGCAGGCCCTGACGGACACATGCACCTCTTTCACATCTACGAGCTGGCTCTGTACACAAGTGCTGTCACCACCACTTTCCTCCTCTCCCCAAGTTAACACGGTTCCGTTCTCACGAACCGCAGCGAAGGAATGTGCTTGCCGACCGGAGAAGATGTTGATGGAGGGCTTTCTTGCCAAAGCGCACACAAGGTCTCCACTTCGAAGACCTTCTCCATGCAGCGTGCTCGAGTCATGTAATGCCTGGGTAGTAAGAACGGATTCCATTGACACGGCATGACACGAACATCTTGCAAAGATAAACCTACGACCTACGGCTTTCCAAGGCAAACTGAGGTGCTCGAGACTCTCCTTGGGCTACAAGCACACCCAAATGAGTCTCCAGCTTTGCCTCTGCAACCTTTCTCAGGTCTTCCACGGAGCAGTGCTTCTCCAGATTCACCGACGCACTGTGCCCACTAAGCAAGGACACAGAAAGCGCCAAAGTCATGCTTTCCGTCTAGGACTCTGGTTGTCAGGTCCTGATAAAGCCTGGAAAGGCTGCGGCGAACTCTGGTATCGATACAACCAGCTACCCAAGTCACTCAATCGCCGGAAGTCTCGACACAACTGCTGCATAATGAGGCGGCTCTGCTCACGTGCTTGCGGAAAGACAAAGACGGGAAACGAAAGTACACAAGCTCGAAACTCGGACCTGTTCCCCGAATCCAAACGCCCCATCTTTAACTGCAATTCTGAGGATGTGAACTTGCATGCATCCTTACATCTGCCTAGTCAACAATAGCCGCAAAGGAATCTAGCAATGCTTGTGCCGATCATTACTGTACATGCCTGAACCACTTCACAAACTAGCAATAAAACGCAGTTCTGTCATCACATCTTCCGGCTACCTGGAGCTGCACTGCTGTTGCCACAGTGCTTCTTTCATCTTCTTTCGGTCCATTGACAAGTGCAAGCCTGAAGTATCAGTGCCACATCTACAGACGCATCTTGAGGCCACAGCTCTGCAAGTTCGGAGACGCCTCCGACTCGAGAAGTGAAGTCACCCAGTGCCTGCATCCGCGAAGCAGACTGACTTTTGCAGGGCACCATGAGCAACGGCAGCCAAGCTCTTTACGAGTTGTAGGTGAGTTGTGGGCATTTGAAGCATGGCCTTTGAGGTTGCGGATGGAATGTTGGATGCTCCGGTGATAACCGCTGTTCCGGAGATAGCCTGAACACAGAGATCCGCAGCCGCTGCAATTAATCTCTTGCTTCCATCCAGGCACTTCGCAAGATCACACACGGCGAACCAGACGGAACCGCTGCATCCAACTTCCAGTTGCTTGGGGACCGGACGTCTTGGAAGCCTGACTGGTATAACAAATGAGCAAGCGAGGTGCTGGCAGGCCGGTACAGCCATTAGACAGATAATGGCCCAGCTACACTGTGCCAACCTACCTCAAACACTTTGTGAAACCTGCTCAACTTGGTGCTGGCTCGTAAGCATATATAACTCCGGCCGCCTGTGTGGGCATCCTTCGCGCATGCACCTGAGGACTTGGATGGGAAGCTGTTTCCAGAATCTTTGGAAAAAGAATAATAATAAGCATTCTGAGTTTTGCTTGTGGGTCGCATGGCACTGAACAAAGAGTCGGCACCTAGCTAGCTGCACTGCTACATGTTCTCGATGCAACCTCCAGAAGAACCTACAAACCCAGTGCCTCTTCCAAAGAGGAGTCATGCTCCTTGGGACGCAGCTGGACGCTGAAAAGTCGGTGCCATGCAACTGCACTTCACAGATGTGTGCCAAGTGTGCCGTAGCGCGTTTGCAGTTTGTCAGAGACATCTCAACTCGATAGTTCCAACGCTGAGGATGCAGCGCCACCTACGAGTGGCGGTGACAGCATCCCTTGGTGCATTGGAGGTCACAAGAATCGCCACATAGATAAGATGTCTGCAGCAAATGGAAAACACAAAAAGCATCAAAAGCACGAATGAACATGCCCGGTCGTACTCTGCAAGTGCTGCACCGAGACCACGCTCAGCAGGGGCGGAGTTTGGACGCTCCTAGCATCAGAAACGATGTCCATGAGCAAGACATGACCCTACAGTAGAGGCCAGACAAACTTCGCCTGCGCACGGAAGGGATCGCCGAAAGTGAAGCTGTTGGCATGCGGTCGATCCTGGCATAGTGTTGGCGCAAGACGCTGAAACTGTGCATGTGGGAAACACCACTACGCTGTTCTTCGCCGGGTCATGGGCGATTTACCTGAATCGTAAAAGGGTGCCATGCCGTCGAGAAACTACGGCTCAAGCACAATTACCTTCCCGTGTCTTGCTAATCTGTCGACGTGTCTGGCTGCAGCTGCCTGGTCCGACAACAGCTGCTCGGCCTGCGAGGTGTGTTGCAGAACTTGCATGTCGACCAGTGCCACTGCAGTCGACGCGCGCCTCTATGTTGGGGGCTGGAGACCCGATAGGACTCAAGGAAGCGGCACCTTCCAAGATGACACAACAGCCTGATCTGCAGTGTTTAGCTTAGTTTCTGCAGTACTCTTGCTTACCGCATCCGCGAGCACATCCTGCACCGGCCTGGCGAGCGCTTCTGCCAGCTGTACCTTGCGGGACCTGCGACGCTGCACAGGTCATGGGATCAAGAACTTAACTCTTAATGATTGAAGCATGCAACAACGCCTCCGCAGACTAGGTCTAGGTGTCCAGCAACATGACGCAGAGACGGTCTCCGCATATTTCACGCATCAACGCAAAGACTTGCGAAAAACTATATTCAAGGACATTCCTTCGGCAGCCATGCACGCATGGCTGCGAGTCCCATCTCTTTTGCACATCGTCCGACCTGTCGGTTCGGGCGTTGTCGTTCGACCCAGCGCCCCGGCCTCACAGCAAACACACATGCGCATGAACATTGCCCCAAACCCTTCGCCTGCCCCTGTCTCCGCTGGTCACTATAACGAAACTTTTTCACTTGAAGGTGCATCCCAACCTCGTCCTCGAGAATTGGCGCGATTTCGATGCTCATGGGCCAGAACCCATACCTGAAGTGCATACATTCGAAGCGATGCTGCGAACAAACACTTTCTTAACTACAACGTAAACTCCTGACTGGTAAAAGTACGTTACTAATAAAATCTAGATATTTCAAGAAAGCTTACAATACTGACCCTCGTAAGAAGTCCTTGAAATAAAAGTGTATAGATCGGGGTCTACATTTCGCAAATGTGATTGCGGCCAGGTTGCTGGACTCTGGTTCCAGTCGCAACGTGTTTGCGCCCCTCCAGCCCCCGGGCGCTGTGAGAGATGCTAAACTGTAGCATACGGCAACATCGCCCACACTCGTTGCTTGCAACGCTGATGCGGCACCTTGTTGACATCGCCCGAAAGCTCTTCATGAAAAACACCACCCTGAAAACTTCAACAGCCAGAACTTGTGCAAAAAACAAAACCGATTTCAGCCTTTGTTGTGTACAACTCTCAAAAGACGTTTGTTTTGTTTGGATATTATTGAAGCACTGTCATCATCTTTTTTCAGCTTGGTTTCACGGTGTCCCAAAAGAAAACTGCCTGCGCACACAAAACGAATGCAGACTGCAATCGAAACAACACAACCGCAAACATGCGACATGGCCTGAGGTAAAAACATGCTGTCAAGCCTACAACAATCCAGCACAAGTAGTTGCAAAACACCTGCTTGTGACATTTTAAAAAGCAAGCAAACGTGACTGCTTGTGCAAAGCACCTCCTCTGGCCGATTCATCAGACAACGCATCATCATCGCCGCTTCACGGCCATCTCAGTGGTGCATGACGAGAATTCACATGTAGCAAATCTGAAACAAAGTTCGAAGAGTTTGTCCGGAGATCCAAGTCTTCTTTCATGTTGTGACGTGCAAATTCCAAGCTTTTCGTCGTGTGTTTGTGGCGTCGGAAAGCTCCATGCGATTAGAAGGGAGCAACTTTACAGTTGAAATCTTTGTCCACTTTGCGTTCTTCTGCTTTTCGCCTCTCCATTAAAGGGCCAGTTGTGGGTGAAACTCCCTCGGTTGGAACCCGCAACAAAAAAGCATGCCGGACTCTGACTGGAACAATTCTTCGTCTGGAAACAAATAACGAGAGAGTGATCTGTGTGAATGCGATCTACCATGGTGTCGTAGATAGTGACGAATTCGTCATTGGGAGCAGATAGGTCCTGTTTCTTGGTGGTTTTAGCACTTGTGAGAGCAGTAACCTGGGTGTACACTGTATCGAAGTGCAAGAGCCCGAGCTAGCAGTAACATTCCACAAATCTTTACCGTCAAAAACAATAGCGTTGAGTTGTTCCACTGCTTGGTCAAGAAGGCACTCCGACTGGTCTGAAAAGAGAATGTACCAAGTTGTAGAGACAACCAGTATTCCACGGTTAAAAAATACCATGGCTTTCGAAAGCTATCAGGCGGATCATTTTCGCTTCACGGAACCAATTCCTGAACAATCAATGTAGAGTCGTGCCACTCAAAGTGGCTGAATTCAGGGACTTCTGAGGTCACGATGTGGTAAGGTGCAGAACCCACTGTCCGCAACATACCGTACCCCCCTGCATGGGAAATAACAAGATGCAGAATCCAATGCCCGTACGTAACAGATCGGATCCACTGTCGTGTGATCACAAGACGCAGAACGTTTTTCAATCGGAACCTCTGTCTCGTGTGTGCTGACACAAGAAGCAGAAACCAATGCCCGTAAGAACTCTGTCTCCTGTGTAATCTTATAAGATGCTGAATGCCCATGCAAGTAGGCCTGGAAAGGAACACGGGAAACTGGAAAGCTTGTTGATTGGCGTTTTCGCATCAAGAAACTCGCAAGACGCGATTTGAAAGTTTATTTCGGCTAACCTCCAGAAAGACTTTCATGGCTCCGAATTCAACAGTTGCCAACACAGCTGATACCCTTCTCTGATAAGTTGAAGATCGACTCTATGGACCCCTCCTCCTTTGACAAAGAGGGGGCAAAAGGGGGGGCTTTAAGGGGGCTTTAAAGGGGCTTAAGCAAAGAGGGGCTTTGAACGGACCCTTCAAAGGCTTTGAAGGGACTTGAGGCTTCGACAAAAAGGATTTCGTGTGGCTTTTCTTAAGATCGACCATACTTCGCTTACGCTTCCGCTTCTTTGGTTTTCATGTTTCTATTGCTTTATGGCTGACTTCCAGCAACGAGAGAGCTTACGGATGTCATCCACATTAAGTGGGGAATGGATCCGCTGTGTCGAAAACGAAATAGCTGGAGACACAGGACTCCACACTGCCCTGTTAGGGTTTTGTGGGAGCCCCGCTGTCGAAGACAACCAGCAGGGCCGCAGCATCCACGATGGGCGGGAAAGAATGGACCTTGGATAGCCGAAAAGAGAGCGTGAAAAGGTGCGGTTTGTCTTTCATGAACACGTTTGGAACAGAAGAGTTTCTGCAAAGGGAGTGTGAACGAGGACCAAGCAGAATCCTCTTGGTGTCTCTCCAAACGT